CGCGACTTGGCTTAGACAGGTTTGGATTACGCGATCGAACGGAGGTTTTCGAACTGTACCGTGTACTCTCGTCGAGCTTCCGATCCGGCGCGGACCGTTTCCGAGATCCGTCGGACGAGTCGTCTCGGACGTCGAAGTCCGTTTTTCGGTGATTTCGCGCGCCAAACGGGAAACGGGCGACGACGTTCGCGCGGCATCGTTCGCGCGACAGAGGTTCCTACGAAGAGATGCCTCGAAAGAATCTATAAAGTAGAAAGTATCCTTTCGATTCAGCCATCGCGTTACATGTTCACGCGGAAAGTTCGCCGACACGGCGATTCTAGTATGCGTACGCATCGGTCGAGGGGTCACGGAAGAGGACACCGTGTCCGAACAGTTTCTTCGGTCCCTGCGAATTGTTACGTCTTCGCGGCTCTGCTGTGCACAGCCTGGCAAACCTGCGGAACACGAGTCTGCGAGACGTGCTCTTTCGTCGATGCTTATCGGTCAACCCTTTGCACTCGGAAGCTTCTCGTCGGATACGTTCGACGCTTTCCAATTAGACGTAGACGACATTATTAACCTCTTAGGCACGACGCGCCACTATAGCGGCTTTCGCGGATGTCGTCTTTCCGAACGACGCGCCACTATAGTGGCTCCGTCGCTACCGATATATCATTCACTTCCGCTACTAAGCTCGTATGACACTTCGCTATCGACAATTCGGAAGAAATGCCAGAAAATTTTCTGTTCCGAGTGGAAATTTCATTTGAAGATAATACATTGATTTGACTGTTGTCGAATTAGTCTAGAAATTGTACGGCAAGGGTTTAACTTTTAGGCACGACGCGCCACTATAGTAACTAATTTAACGATAATTCATAGATAAATTAAGCGACAGAGGTGGATTATTTCAATATTTCACGTAACAATGCGAAGTTTAACTTGAAATATTAAATATTCTACTTTATAGTTTCGTTGTATCGAATCGAATAGTGAGAGTCACCTCTCGATGGCAAAGGGTTAACGCGCGATATCGTCGTCGGATCCAAAAGTATTGCGAAACGCGTATTTTATATTCATGAACCTGTTGTGCATTCGCCACGTCCCGCTTAGGAACAAACACTTTCGAACGGCCATTGTAGATCAAAGTTTCGCTTGCAGATTCTCTAGAGCTGAATCACTTGACTCGTCTCGCCCAGTGTACTCGTTTAAGATCTCTAATAAAACTCGTTACTGGTAATGCTTCGACTGAATAAATATTAGCAGTAATTCGAACGAAACATAGTCTTCGAGGGAAACCCATAGTCTTCAACCTTCGCGAAGGAAATTCAACGCTTCTAGGATAGAATAGGTGACACTGCCAGATGTCAAGGTACAGTCCGACCGATTCTCGACGCAGCGAATGGAGAACAAAAGTAGAATAGTTCGAGAACAGTTTCGTTAACGCTAGCTTTACGGGCATTTATTCTACAGTTTATTCTATTGTTCCTAAGTTGATATTCGTTCATAGATTTTGGAAATTCTAGATGTAGAAATAGACGATCAGGATTCATATTCGTGTATTGGATCAACGAAAACCGATCGAAACATTTACCAAATAACGTGTAGGACTACTAAAATAAAAACTAAGTCCGTAGTCAGGTTAAATATATTTATTACGCGATGTGGCTCTAACGAGGAACGGCGACTAACTAACTTTTCCTCGACGCTTTTCTAAGAAACCTCTTCGGACGAGGGCGTACGCGACCCAGGTCCTGGTGGTCCCCTTGGTCATTAATCAGTCAATGGGCCTGGTCTATCTCTCAGGCCCCCAAGTACTGACACGCAAAAGGGCGAATCGTCTACAAATGTTTATAAAATTCAATCTGCGTGAAATTGACGAGCCTGGATTCTCCCGCAGATCCTGTGGCTGCTGGTTGTAGCGTGCTGCACCGGCGCCGACAAGCTGTCTCCGAATCAGAAGGCGCCCCTGTTCGCGCGCGGTTCCGGCGGGTTGATTCTGAACACACCGCTGGAGGACAATAAGGCGAGGAATCGGCCGATACCGAGCGCTCCCAAGGAGGATGGGGTCGATAGAGAAGAAACGGAGATGCTGAAGGAAGTGGACGGCCAGCTGGTGCGAACCGTCAAGGGGAGTTTCGCGTACAAAAGTCCGGAGGGTCTTCCCATCTCCGTCAAGTGAGTCCCATTATTTTGCCGGTGATCTCCGCTGTACGAACGTTATCGCGATCCGATCGTTCTGTCGAAGGTACGAGGCCGACGAGAACGGAAACAGAGCGAGCTTCAAGTTTGGCACCGGCGGAGGAGGAGGAGGTGGTTCGGGTCGTGGAGGAGGCTCGAGGGGAGGAGACAACGGTCGTGGAAAGCCAAACGAGCAAGGACCGAAAGGATCGAACGGGTCAAAGGGCAACTCGTACCTACCGCCGAATAAGGACGTCGACAGAAGCTACCTTCCGCCGAAATAGAACCTCTTCTCCCAAGATACTCGTCAGTCTGAACCTCCGAGACAATTCGATTCGCTGAGATGATTGCGCAATGATTTCCCTTAGTTCCGTTGGCTGGCCAAAGTTCTTTAAAAGATGTCGGATAACAGTTGATAGCACGGAATCGTTCGTTCGTGCAGGGAACGGCTTAGTTGATTAATACGAGACGCAACGACTCGACGTGCGTTGTACGAAGTAGAATATATTTTTTCACAGATACCCGTGTTGATTTAACAACCCAAGTAAACCGAATGTTATCTCTGTCGCGCTTAGGTTTTATCGTTTTGTGGATTCCACGGCTTCCGAGTGACAGTCGCGGGAGCATAAAGAATACCAAGGGATCCGCGGAGAGATGAAGCTTTGAGACTCTGCATTATAAAAAACGTTTATTATCACGAAATCGGACATTTTTATAACACAACTGTTTCTCAGAAGAATTAACCAACACTGCGTGTTCATTAGTATTCAGCTCTCGGAACCACGGTAAGTGGAGTAACCGAATGGACTTAACAACACTGGTATGTGATAATGTGCAGCAGGATCCTTAACGTCGAAAACAATTTCAATGAACGGATACATCGTTTCTATTCTTCTCAATGTAAAGTATTTGTCCACGTCGAAATGAATCTTGTAACGTCCAGCTGTGAAATTAGCTTTCATATTGTCCACTAAGTCTAGGCAACGACCGTTTGGGAAAGTGTTACTGGAAAAGAGAACAAAAAAAATTGTGTTCAATAATACCATAATTTCCTGTTGAAACGTATTAACGTCATACCTTTCATTTAAAAACGTCCATCGGCCATCCATGAGTTTGTACAAACTGACTTGCAATCCTCCAACAGGCAGTCCTTTACTTGTATCCACAACATGCGTAGAAATTCGAGGCTTCTTCGATACCGATGATTTAACAGTCTTCACAAGAACATGCTGAAATAAATGTGTCGTAGAAACGCTGTTTCAATTAAAAATTTATATATATATATATGTGTGTGTATGTATATGTAACTTACAAGAGGAGTGAAACAGACAAAAAGTAGTCAAAGAAAGCAATAGATTAAAATACTTTATTTTGCACGCTACTACTTTGATGTCCGTCGAGTTGAATGTTCATCAGTCGATTAACGTACCTTCTTCGGACTTTGATAACTGGTACCCGCCACAGCCATTTGGTCCTTGTTCACTGAAACGCCTTTGGGCGCGTCTTCCGTTTGATTAGCTGCAATTGCAGTTTTCCTATCAGCTAATACCAACGTAGGAATTTTATTCTTGAATTTACTCAGAACATACTGAGTACCAGGTTGGAATGTACCACCTGTTAAAGTTAAAGTTTTGCCACCCGACGTTAGAGTAATCGTTTTACTTTGCGCAGGTGCAATGGGAATGGTATTCACGGGTTGAAGAACTCCTATCGTGTTAGGAGGAGAAGTAACCGAAGAATTTATTTGATAAGCCGTACCTAAGATAGGTAACGGACACGCCACCATTATTTCCGAATCTCCTTGCTGCTTTCCGTCTTGCTGAAACGTTATTAGTAAATCGAATTATGAAGCATTTTATTTTACGCACTGCAGCATGCAACGTGTACAACATTTACCAATAACTTTGAAGACTTCCTGTCCGTTTTACTTTCGCCCCGCCGAATTGTTTTCCCATTCTCGCGTGAATCCTTCGGAGATTCTTTGTTAGAATCTTCTCCATCCGGAAGAATTGTGACAACTTGAATATCAGAATTGGCTTGATCTTCCGATTCCACCACCATTTCCATCTGCACATCTCCTTGATTCTCCGGCTCTTCTAAATATTCACTTTGCATGTGATCCATTGCTTCTGCTAAAGGATCTTCGGAATTGTCCTGATACACATCAACTATTGTCATTAGAGATTCTTAAATAAAATCGAAAATAGTATAAGAAAGTTGGAATAATTAGAAAAACTAACTGCTCTCTCTATCTTAATTTTTTTTATAGAACTCTTAACATCATCATCGTCCATAGGCATTTGTAAATTTGATACATCTTCTTCTTCTTCCTCTTCTTCTTCTTCAACTTCATCACCATCGTCGTTTGGGTCTTTGATTTGCGATTCGTCCAGCTCATCGTCTGTTTCTAATCTTTCAACAACATACTCCACTTCTTCGTCATTTTCTTCTACTTCAACTTGGACACTTTCGGGTGCCTGGTAAAAAAAAAGGATACATTAACTCATTTTAACAAAATATGAATTAACATACTGCTACATAAATATAATTTGCTACTTAGACTTTACTAATTACATAGAAGAACTAAAAATAAGTAATACAAACATCAATTTCACCAATTTCCACTTCAACTTCCTCCTCTCCATTTAACTTTTGGGTGAGAGCCTTCTTCTTTTCTTCTGCTTCGTGTAATAAAGCTGCTCGCTGATGTTTCATAGTACATGTGTGTTTCAATAATGAAAGTCTGTGCGCATGTAAATTTTTCTTGCAATACATGCAATAAGCACGTGTTGCTTGGAGGGGCACATACGTTAACCATCCTATAAAATATGTTTAATCGTGTACATATAGAATACATACATACCACGGTATATTAGAAATTTAAATAGATACAAAAAATACATCATACAAGTAAATGCTCACTGAAGACATTAAGAATTCATATACTATGTGAAAGAATAATAAAAATGATAATACTAGTATCCTATTTTAAATGCAAAACATAGAAATATAAAGAATAATAAAGTTATTTCTATTTATAGGTTGCGTAAATATAATTTACATTCTCACTTCACTATGAGGTTTTCTTCATTTCTATTTACGTTTCACTTCGATATAGTTGTATGCATGAGTAGCACTGTACATCTCACGTTAACGTGAAACGAATTCAAGGAAAATATTAAACATTAAACGTACCGCGGTTCACATAGTTTAATGCACCTATACCACGTAATTCGATGATTTGCAATTTCGCGCGCTCTATTCCGTTCTCTATCGAATAGTCGCGACCTAATATTCCAAATACGGCATTCCACTAAATATGTTCCTACCGTATGGTGATATCCACTCCACAGACTGTCGAATTACCCAGCAGCACCTTTACTGGTAACTTATTAACGCTAGTAATATGGTTAGATATGTAACACAACAGAGTGTTCAGTGATGTCACGTCATGTGCTGAACGCGGTATTAAGCTCTCGCAATTGTTCAACTAAGAAACTGACATATGTTCTACCAGTTTAATACCAGTTAGAGGTAACAATGCGTAATAATATGTGACAGCGTAAAAACACGACAAAACACAAATGGAATTTATTGGTTAATCAGTCACATTCGAACCCGTGTGTAAGATACCCGTCGACAGTCGAACCAGACATTTGATAAAAGGTATATAGGTTCGTACGCGTGAAACGTGCTCTCTACAAATAATGGACTTGTTCTACGGATTAAAGCGTCATTGCTTGAGGCCGTGACGATTAGAAGTTCGAAGTATACAATTAGAGAGAGTATAGGTATATACGTGTATCTAGAGTGGCACAATACACGAACAACGCCAATGTTAAACATTGTCGGTAATGTGTTACTTCCACAGACAGATATATGTATATGGTAACGGGCTAATACCTTTGAAATCGGGCATTTGTTCCCATTCTTTTCGATATCTCTGCGTATAAACACGCGTTTTAGCATGGCTGATTTTCCCTGTAGGGGTAAGTCGCTGACCCGTCGGTGTTAGAAGATTCGCGTGTATTACGGTTTCCGGGGACGTAATCATAGGCGAATGCTTCTTCTTCTCCATCGTTCTCGAACGCGAGACCGATTCGAAATCGCCCGGATCTCAAAATACCCAAAATCGTAACACGAAATCACTAAATAGTTTTTTCCACGATAAAAGGGGGAGGGGGCACACGACAAGCTCCGAGATCCTCGCCTAGCCTAGTACCGAAGTTAACTCCCTAGCAATGGCGGACAACTGCAACGCTGCAACAATACGCGCTCCCCTCTAGCCCCCTCCGCTATCAAGGACCGAGTACCTCAAATTACACTGACGTATAAATCCTACTTGGGACCCGCAAGTTTCAGATTTGATCTTCTCTCTGTTCCATATATATCTGACGAATGATCCGTTAATGTTAGCTCTAAAGCATCTTTATTTCATCCGATCCATACTGAAATAAATTTTTACGCGTGTATGGATAAAAATGTAACTTTGATCTTTTTATAGAGTGAGATTTTGAAATTGTAACAGCACGATTATCTAACGTATAGAAACTAGTAAGAATAGATTTTTTTTAATGATTTCGATTTTTATTATATTAATCTTAATATCTGATGGTTACGCAACTGTATAATTTACAGTTTATTGATAATACAGCATGCGATATATGTAACTGTGTTCTCCCTCTGTAGCTTATACGTACGGTACTGGATTTTGATAGGATGTACGTAATAATTGGTTGAATCGATATGCGCGCGCATTCTAACGGAAATTTCATATTACGCGGGAAAAGTGACAAATAGTCGTGTACAAAGAGACATATGAAAATTACCACTTCAGGCACGAAGTAGAAAATATTTGTCGAATATTTGTTACACGAATGAATCATTTTAAAATGAAATTGCGAGAGGAACACGCGAGATTTTTCGTAACATATACTTTGAAAAATTCTGGTACGCCATCTAGAAGACCCCGAATTAATGAATCAATAGTAGCGCACCCTTTACGAGAGAATCAGGAATTAAGGATGTCCAAATTAGGGGAAATCTTTCAAACAATTTAAACATTAAAAATGTAACAGGTACGTGAAAATATATGATGACAGTTCCAAACATTTTCTAATTTTATAATCTTCCTTTTTTTTTGTCTTGTAAGGCATTAAAAACTCGCTAAATTTATCATAATTAGAAATATTATATTCTTATTCTTTATTTCTGTTTGTCATGCTAAAGAATAATAATACAGTGAGTAGCTCCTGGATTTATAACTATGTTTTTGAGAAGATATGTTATTACTTGCTTACTTTACATCTACTTTAAGTGTAATAAATAAATTGTCTCTAGATTGAAACGAAGAAAAAATATTTTCTTATACTTTTCTGTGTGGATTCGTTTGAATCCTAACACGTATAAACTCGTAATGTTACTAGCAGACAATATTTAGTATTATTAAAATAATAATATTTTAAGAAGTTATAATAGTGAAATTGTTTTGTAAGATTATATGAATAATCGTGTATTTCCTTCGAACATTGCAATAAAACAAAAGCATATACGACCTACTCAGGAATGTAACGTGACGCTAGACTAAACGCTGCGAAAGAAGCTGACTTAGGAAACTTGTAATTGTAACCGTTTTCGTTTTCGTTCTCTAATTTATTTATGTAATAATTAACTCATTGGACAAGGTCAAAAATATACCTGTTTTTAGGTATGTTTGAGGGTTTGTTATAAAGAGATACGATCTTGCCCAATATAAAATGAACCAATGAGACACCTGTCACGTGACCGTCCGCACCGCCATTGTTGCTAGTTGCTTTAATCTTAAATGGTATGAATATAGTTATTCTGTCACAGCTGCACACGCGCAGAAAGTACGCGGCGATGAAGAAAATAACGAATTTTAACAATCAATAAAACAATAAAATGAAAAATTTATGTTGACCGTGGAAGAGAAACATACATAAAAATGAAATAATTGAAATAATTGATAGAATATATTACGTTAATATATTCGTGGTATTGTCAAAAAGTGATATTTACAACGTTAACAAGATATCGGATATGCCGCTGTTATTCAAATATCACAACAACTGTCAATTATTCGTCACTGTGACAGTGCACAGTGTTTGAAGAATGTAAATATAATATTATAATTTACATTAAATGTGATCTGTAATGTCTTGTCAATAAGAATACGTTGAACGGATTTCTTCATAATATAAACAATGAAACAAGCAAAGTACAGGGTAGAAGCTTTTATTATACCTGTATGTGTTGATCACAATACAAATTCTACTGTAAGCCAAACTCACTATGAAAAAATCGAGTTAAACGAAGTTAATAATATGATTGTAAATACTGAAAGAAAAGAAGAAAACTTTATTGAAAATTGTACAAACGATTTGTTTACTATAGAAGAAGAAAGCATCCAGAATTTAAAGAATTCCATAACTCTTAAAAATATTACAGAGGCAAGTTTAATTGATATTACTAAAGAGAATAAAAATGTTTCCTCCAATTTTTATACTTCTCTTCAATATTGTAAAACAAAATATGAGGCATCATATAATCCAAATTTTTGTTCCAATATATTTGGTAAACTTAATAAATTGACACCGATTAATGAAGAAAATGAACTTGCAGAAAAAAACCTTACAGATCTATGTTATCATGGATGTAAAAATGGATGCTCTGCGACAGTGCCAACCCCTCAAGAAGTCAGTGAAGAAGTATTTAGAGAAAATTGGTTACAAAAACTAGAAAACATAAAGCAAAAGGAAGTTGAATTGAATAATAGAGAAATCATTTTACAAAATCGCGAGAAAGCACTGTCTGAGAAAGAAAAAGAAATAAAAATTTTGGAATGTCAATTAAATGATAAATTGCAACAAATAAATTTGGATCTAAAAAAAAGTAAACATATGCGAGATTTGTTAAAAATATCTAATATGAACAAAAATAATCTAGAACCACTTATGAATGCTAATTTTGAAGTATTACAACAGGAAATTCAAAAGAAGGAATTTGAAATAGACAATAAGTTAAATCCATGTTCAGAAACCCTTCAAACACAAGATATTAACCAAAGTCAACAAGATCATTTGAATAAACAGTTATGTAACAACATAGGTAACATATATAAAGATTTGCAAGGAAAAAGAAGTAATGGGAATTCGTCTTCCTCTTCTGATCATAGTGGATCTGACGAAAGAAAATTAAAGCAACATTCCAATTTTAAAAGTACCACAACATTAAAATCTTCTTTTGGTTCTAAAACAGTTTCCAATAATTTTAGTAAAATGAAGAAACATCCTAAATTACATTACGAGGATTTAGATACTACATTGTCTGCAGATATAGGAGACTCATCTTTCGTTCAAACTTCTCAGAAATTTAATCCAGAATTATATAGAAAACCACATGCATTTACAAGATCAGCTAGTGAACGTCATGGAAGAAATGCAGGTAAAGGGAACAGCATAAATCTTCAAGTTAAAAACACAGGCAATATTTGGGAAGAATTTGAAGCACCTACTAAGGTGGAACAAGATAAGGTATTACAAAGAGTAACTAAAAATATATCTGTTTCACAAGATAAAAGTACAAAATATCAGAACTATGGCCTTATAGATTATAATGTAAATACAACGAATAAAGAATATAAAATCGAAAATGAGAAAAAGTATTCTTACCTAAATTTAGAAACAGGAAATAAACCATGTTCGCATCAAAGACTAATAAGAAACACAAAGGAAAGACCAATATCTTGGAATGAAGAAACAAATGAATGGTTGCAGAAGAAACGTAAAGCTTACACAATGACAACAAAAAAAGTTTTAATAAAAGACATTGAAGATAAGGAAAACTACAAATGTGGTGTAAAAAATGACAGAACTGAAAAAGCGATGAAGAAAAATGTTATTAAACATAAAATACTTACTATATTCCGTTGATGTAATATGAAAACTAGATTATAAAATCTAAGGCACTGTAATTAGTATACAATAGTTATTTGTTACATAAAAAATATGTTCATATGGAAATACTTTGTAGTGTTTTTGTAGAAATAAAATTGTAATTGCAATTGCTATTAAAAAGAGTTCTAGCTCTGGTTCTAAAAAACACATCTTGCCAATTGACATGAAATTTTAAGGAAATGGAAAGAGAGGGTGAATCTTAAATATAAAATTTTAGCTTCCCGTATTTATTAATTTCTGAGATATTGATGAAAAATTGTTGCACCATACATTCAATTCTGTAACAATATCATAAAGATCTAATACATACAGTTCTAAGACTAATTTTCACTTAATTATCTCCATGATGGTGGCTCTCCTGGTGCTAATTCTCTTCCAAAGAGAGCAGATTTATCTCGAAAACGACTAAGTTTTTTCGCATCTTCCCTCCTAAGTAGGTAAAATCCAACATATAGAGCTGACATATATAACACACAAATCACAGGTGTACTTGCTGCTCTACATATCTTCGTAACGAGTGTCATTTTAATTATTCAATTGTAATTCTGTTTGTCTAGCTAGTTCCTTTTTCCACTTTCGAGTATGACTCCAATCTGCATAAATAGAACCCAGCGTAAAAGTTGGAAAAAGTGCCACCAACCAATATCGGTTAATAAAATATAAAGCACCCTTTTGGCCCATCAAACTAAAACAGAAAATTTAGTACTGTAAGTTTCGTTTCAATATTTGTAACATTTTATGAATCTGACCTTTATATAATAAGTACACTTTGATTAAATCTAAAGGATAAGAAATATTCGAACCAATTAATGAATAAAGATATTAAACGTTTCATTTATATTAATTATCCAAAAACAAATCGAATCTTTCTTCTGAAAGAATTATCCACCGTAAAGGGGTTATGAATTGTACGTAAAATGAAAAATTACTTTGAGATTGCGTTTGTTCCCTAAATGGGGCAGAATGTAATACTACACATTAAGTAAATAATAATAAAGAGATTTACCTATTTATTAGTTAACACCAAATTGGTGTTAATATTGTAAACTAAATCTTGATATCCAAGCAAAATTATGACTCGATATTCTGCACCATGAAGTGACGTAATCGTATAGAGTGTAATACATTACATCTACCTAGTATAGATATGAATAAACCTTGATAACAATCTTTTAAAATTTCAATAAAATCGCAAAAAGACATGTACTGTTTCAGTGTTACGTTCAATATTATCGACAATTCGCGAATTTTTATTTATAAAGAAATAGAATGTTTTACCTTAAGACTTATAAATTCGTAGATACATTTGCGTGAACATGTATCCCAAGATGGAATAATATGACAAAAGTTCAGGTCGGTTTATGTCAGATAACTAGATGATTAAATCGTCTTAATGTTATGTATTCATACGCGGAGATCTTATAATTGTAGCTAAGATCACATTACTATAGATAAATACGTAGTAATAATAAGTACATTGACATTATTTGATTACGTCAAGGGTGTCACTTACTCCCCTCACACTAGTAACACGGATGCAACGTTTCCCCACTATCTCTATTCAAGGAGCTGCCGAGACTGTACATATATGAGCAGTTCTACGTTGTGTTCAAAAGCACAGGCAACAATAGGTATGGAAAGGACTAACTTTTCGTAAGGGGAGTGTTACTAGAGTGCCCGTGGACATCGATTTAGCACCCTTGACTTATATAACTCGTAGAATTTTACACGCGAACCAATCACATTTCACGGATAGCAAGGGTTGACAGGGTAGTTAAACTTTGAATATAAATACAAGGCGCTAAATTCTTAAAATATACCAATGAAGAAATCGATACTTAATGTTTGAAATAGTCTCTTGACTATTCACCTTTTTATTAAAGTTGAAATGTCGGCCCTTTAAGACTATTCTTATTTTTTACGAATAACTTATTATATCTGGAGGTAGAAATTTAAGTAGTGAAAGTATTGTTTGAGAAACAGACATTGTAAACGATCAATAATTAATTCGTACTTGAATCCAATAAATACTAAAAATATTTAAGTATTCTTTCTTGCTATTGCTGAAATGTATTTTGAATTTAAATGGGTAATTTAGTTTCTAATAGATGATAAAGAAAACGACTCACGTTACTTCAAATTCATTTTTATTCGATAAACAGTATTATATATAGTGATCTAATCTATAATGCATAACATCCTGTTTACGTTTAAATGTTACATATAAACACAACAGTCATGTCATGAACTAGAAGTGCCTAAAATTATTTTCAAGAATATCACAAATTTAATTTTCAATCACTATTAAACACTTAGATTAATTTAAATAACAGTTAAGTAACTATTCTGAAATAAAGCATACAATCAAACATATACTTAATAAGTGTATGTGTTGAGAAATACATTAAAGAAAAAAAAGAAAAAAGCGAAAGAAAATTAAACATTGTGCTGATCTTAGATTTTTCAGGGTACAGAAACACCAAATAATACTTATATAACGTGAAAACTATTGAAGATTAAACTCGAATAAAAATATTGAAAGTGATAATAATAATATTTTTGTATTTTTAACACTGCCTATTTATTACTTATGTACAATACTTCGTGTATGATACTATAAACACATTGCTATAGCAAAAGTTCTTAAGGCAAATGAAATTCTTTGAACTGTTAGGGGACTTATTTCACGAATCTCACCTTTAAAAAACTATACACAGATTAACCAAAGCATACACCACATTAAGTAAGGAATCCCGCAATTTAATACTATATCCTTTTGGAAGATCATTTTGAAAGACCATTACTGTTATCTATTCTTATAAAATTTTCTTATTGGAATGCAAATAAAAGTAATTGAAACACTTCGATTACATTACGTGTGTACACATTGACTGAATATTATCATCAACATAATAAAAATACATCATTTTTTTTCCTTTCACGTTTGTATTGCATCGTTGCGCGAGCATACGTTTAATAAAACTGTAGGCACTCCACGTAACTTTTGCCTTATCGAACGAAGAAGCAAAAGCACCAGTTCTTTGTGACATATCATTATTTGCGATGATTTTCCATTGAAGAGCCTCGTAGCGATATCATTTAAAGTATTTGTATGTATGTATGCATATGTATATGTACGTATGTATGTATGGATACGTGTGTGTATACGCGCACATATATGTATATGTGTATATGTGTATATATACATATATACATACAAATGTATATATAATCGTATTGTAATACTTCTGTGAAAACAGGTATCGAGTGATCAAGCAAAAGTTCAATCAATCTCAGTGTCTATCGACTTTGTGTTTGTACAAATTATACTTTATCCATCCTATTATGCAAAATACCAAACACCTAACAGAACAAAAATTTATGACCGGTAGATTTTTCATATTGTTCACGTATAAATAACAATTTAAAGAAACCCTTAATAACAATATTCACCGAGAATGTCTGCAAAATTGTATTTTCACGTAGGTATATCTACAATCGAAACGTTGGCGATCTGAGAACATACGCATATACATCAAGTAATACACTAAACATAGTTGAGCGTTGAGAGTTTATCTTTTCACTTTGCAATCCACATCTATACCCTGCTATAAGTTATAGTTCCCTGGACGCCAACGCAATGAAGCACAATCAATGTGATCTAACGAAAATATAGGGACGTAATATATACTCTGATCATTCGTACAAATTTATACTGATATGATTTTCTTTGTTCTATTGCAGTGCCATACTGAAAAGATGACGTTTCATTTGGCATCATTTGATGGCAACAATGCTTCCGATGTCGCGTTGTTTAAACTACATGAAACTTTATTATCGTTCGAGGATTCCTCACTGTGTACTGTGGTAGATATGACATCCGTATTTGTTGTATTTTCTTCTTTTAAGGCTTCCCTAAAATACACACGTATCCGCGTATATTAAATATCCTTTTTAATTATGAGAGAATGATGAAAAACATGTCCTCATTTTAATTACCTGCTGTCAGAAATTTCACTTGGATTCGCGTTCCTATCAGCAGCACGAGCGGAATACAATTTCTCCTCCTCATTGCTCTCATGATTCACATTCGTATTTGTGACTGAAGTATCTTCAACTTTCACGTGGTCAGTTTCATTAGCTTTTACCGTCTGTTGACTTTCTGCTACGGTTTCCTCTTGACTTGAACCCATGGTTGCATTCTGAGTTTCTTTCTCGGTTGTACCACATAATTTGTTATCAAAATTTGCCCAACCAGTAGAATTAATTACTGTCTCTGCCGGTGCACTTTCCCATGGATTCACTTCAGGAAGTGTATTGTCAGTAGACAATTCAGTGTTCAGTGAATCCCAAGCTAACGCGACAAATATTAACAGTATCGTAAAATATTATTACAAAAGTATATAATTCATTTTTAAATTTTAACAAAAACTTTAACACGATAAAGAACCATTTTTTTAGACGGAGCAACAATAAAAAGAAAATACGAACGTTCATCATCTTCGTCGGATGAATTGGAATCACTGTGTTGCTGTTGCAAATCGCGCCAATCTTGCCTATCCACTACAGTCTGAAAAGTAAGATCACCTTCGTCGCCCCATTCTGCTCCTGTACTACAGTCTTCTAGAACATATTTTTGCTTTTCTTCGCATATCTACAAATAATTATTGATGGTTAACGAACAGAAAATATATAATATGTATTTGTTTTTATTATTATCTGTACCTTATTGAACGCGTCTTCTTTTTCCTCGTAATTTCCACTGGCTGATAAGCCATCGACCCATGTTATCAATTCTTCAACCGTGTTCCTATAATACGATAATGTTTTATATTTTTGTACTGTACTCAGTTTACTTTAAATTATTTACAGTATCAAATTATATTATAGTATCATAATTGCATAAAACATGCGATATGCAATATGTAATTGGATATTAATAATAAAACGCATACATTAAAGTTCAACCTAAATTACTTACTGCATCTCGTTTTGATTGCCCATAAAATTTTCGTTAAAGCCGAAGTTTTTAGTAAATGATGGCGTCATATGTTGCCCCACATAGTTGTTGTAAAACTGTTTATGTTATACAATATTATATAAAATAATAATTTATTATAATTTATCGATAAAACATTGGTCTTTGTAATAATCTAATGCATAATTTTAAAAATACTTTTACGAACAGAAAATACGATACTAACTTGGTCCATTTCTTGAGAAACAGAACTGTATTCATCTGGATTTTCACCCGACGACGGGGTCTTTTCGCCCTAAACAGTTACATTATAAAATTTATTAAAGCATAATTATAAATGAACTGTATAAATATAATTTGTAATGTATACAAATTGAAGAGCAAATAAAATTTATGAAACAATTGAACTTACCAAAATAACTAGATAAGTCTCATTAATTTTTGCTAAATCAGTGTTCACAAGATTTTCCCATTCATTAAGACACTCGCACGATAAATTAGACTGCAGAAAATTATCTAAGCTTTTGCTTTTCTTACGCTGATTAACAATATTATTTGCAATAATAATTAAATGACCCATATATCCCTGTCTAACTCCATTCACTGAATTTCTGAAGTATATTAATAACACAATTAACAAAACTTTCATATTCTCATAAAAGGTAAACGTGTATGATATTAATTAAAAATTACTGTTTAACATACTGTTTATTATCATTTTTGTCCCAAGCTTCTAAAATTTTATCTATTAACCTGCACTTGATAAATATCTGGAAGTTGGATTTCATGAGATTAATAATATTTCTTACTTCTCATACTTTTATAATAACATTACCGGAATACTTACATTAGTATAAATAATGTCATTTCCATCATTAAAATCACAATTAATAGCTAAAGCCAGGCACGATTGTACTTGAGTATGTAGGAAATTGTTCCACTTATATTTAAAAAATAAATCCTTAACAAACATGGAATACAATGCGTTACTATATAGTATAACTATGTTCTATAATTATACAATATTTATTTACCAGTAATGTTTGGAATGTTCCTAGTTCTACTAAGGTCTCATAAATTTTTACATTTTCCACTGTTAATAACGCAGTGAACAACTTTGCAACATGTATACGCGTATTTCCTAATGGACATTCTAGTACTCCCGCAGTCGTTTTAACCGGAGGCTTCTGCAATAGAAAAGTATATTTTCAAAAAATATATTAGATACACAATACTTATGACATACTTTTACACTTACATAAGGTGGATCTAATAAAACCTTGTGAAGTCGTTCTAAATAAGGTAGAGTTGCATTTGAAATTTTTATACGTTGTTCATTATCTGGGATCTCATCTCCAGTACCATTGCCATGAACATCACATTCATTTAATGCACTATGTATAAATATTATGTTTTTTTAGTGTATTCATTTCTTTATAAGGTGATAAAACATTTTACACACAATCTGTATTCTTACTTGTTAGATCTTTGGCCTAGAAATGTAAGAAGTACTTGAATCCCCCCAACAATACTACTTTCTAGTTTCTCTCCAGTTAAAATAGTTTCTAATAACAGACTGGCTGTATCAGGTCTGTGAAAAAGATATTAATTATTTTACAAGTTATAGTATTATAATCTTATAGATTATCTTCTTTTTACTTCTGTTTAACTTTTTGTACTTACGATTCAAGAGTATTTAAAATAGGATCTACATAAGTGCGTAATGTAGATGTACGTTGATTTTCTCTCGTTACACTTGTCATATCACAAAGTAATTGTGCAGCATTTGCATGTTTACTTGAGTCAGAATTAGGAGACAATAATTTTACCAATCTTTGCACTAATTGTTGACTATCTAGCCACTGTTAAAGCAAACATATACATCAAGTTTTGTATAAAGCAATGTAACCAGCTATATTAGTACAAGCAAATCTGGGCTCACTGTAAAACCGGATATTGCACTGTCTAAGATTTCATAATATGAAGGTATTAAAAATATAATTCCTCACATGCAGTGTATTTTGCTTCACATCGCTGCCTTCCACCTGAGTAACCAATACTAGTACTAAGTCCATAATTGCAGAGGTTTCTAAGTGTTGCAAAAGTAAATCAATAAATGTTTGACGACTTTTCAAAAATTCTAAAACCTGTAAACAAGTGAACTGATACGAATACCAGTTCTAGTAAAAAAGGAATGAAAATTAATATGTATATTGTGAATATGAGTGTATTTGTTATATAACTAAATGTAATTTTATATAAAATGCATTAACTTATAACTACCTGATCTGTTTTGTGGGCTATGAGTCCTCCAATAGTTTTACTAAAAAATGATGCTAACAGAGGATTTAATGGTTGATCTGTATCGATAAAAGAATAAAGTTTTGCCAAAAGTGCTTCATTGCCTGAAACATAATGTACGTTGATCATTTCTTAAAATTTTTTTTTAAGTTCTATAACCTTCTTTTGTATTTGTCGAGCTCATACCAATTTTATGAAATTAAATTGATTGATTAATTCATATACCTGCTAATGTTTCATTTAATTTTGGTATATTACACGTTAACAGTTCACAAGCTAAACTTGGATATTTATAATGGCAACGTTCTTCTATGTCTGTTGATGGTTCTTTAGTTGTAAGTGTTATTAATTCTTCCATTACATCAGATCTAGTTAGACTAAAAGTAATATTACTATAGAATTATTTAACAGCAAAATTTAATACACATTAGATGTTACTTACTATTCAACGAGTTTCTTATTTTGGCTTTTACATTCCAACAATATATCATCTTCATCCATCAGCTCATATAAAGTAACATCCTAAAACAACAAGCATAATTATATCATTTCCCATTTCCTGTAATATTGATAAAGTGATTAAGAATCACAATGTATATCTTATTATTGTATCGTGTACAGGTAAAGAACGAACTATATGAAGAAGTATGTATAACTCTAATCTTATGAAACGATATTATTAGAAAATACAAAGAACAATGTAAAGTATGTATCTTAAAATCAATTTCCAACAGATTGTTAATAGCTGTAAACCACCAATTAATAGGATTACATTTTTATAAACGGACGATGGATTTCCTTACCAACTTATCAAGGAGTGCCTCTAGATTAGGTGATGACACGTAATTTTTCGTCCAAAACATAATGTGGCTGTTTATTTCGTCTTCGCTCAACTATAATACGACTAATCGGATGCGAAACTAATCACAACATTGAAGTGGTCTCCACTAAAAAAATAATGTAATACTTCGCGAGAGGAAGAGCCAACTAATGTCGCATGGACACGTATTAGTGCGATGACGACGCTGTGTATAAATGCAGTGACAACCACTGCAAGAGCCAAAGTAACAAATAAAACTATATTTTTTTCTCTAAATAAAACTGATTTCAAAATGTCACCTTTTCTCCAAAAAGCAGAACTCCTCAAGATTGTTTTAACTTTGACGTTTGCTACAGAAGCGATACTTCACGTTCGACTTTCGATCAGACAAACGCATCTTATTTCAGATTATTCAATCCTACAATTACATGCTTTAAATGCCGTTCACATGATGGTCAAATATGCGTAGAATCATTTTTAAAAGGTTAAAGATAAAAATCTGAAAAATGAAAACTAATTTCAGGTTTTAAGAGAGACAAATTGCAAATATAGTAATAATATGATTTTTCTGAAAGAAATCAGAAATTTCCTTGAGAAAAAATAGTAACGTAAGTACCTAAGTAGATATTTACCGTAACACCATTTTTTCTAATCATGTAGTAATTAGTATTATTTATTATACATGTTACTTCTATGACATTATTTAATAAAAAAAAGAATGATCACGCCTGATAAAGTAATGAGTGTCAATAGAAGTTACCCTCTTCATACCTGCGTTGTTCACGAGAAGAGCCCTAAAAGAAATACAAGTCTCATTGGTCAACTGTCATCTTTTTCATCTCATTTTTGGTTCTTAACTCAAGAACAACGGATTTTGTTCAATAAATGTCTCTTGATTTGTAAAAATTGCAAACCCCGTTTCTGATTACAAAAAGATTTTTTATTTAATATGGGTAAAAAAGATAAAAATAAAAAGAAAATAAGCGGTAGTGTAAAAACTGCATTAAAAACTGAAAAAAAATTAAGCATAAAACAGAAGAAAGAAATAGCTTCATTGGGTGAGGTTAGTCAAATGTAAACATACAATTAGGGGTTAAAACTTAATCATAAAATTTTAATAACTTTATAATGTGATAATCAATGTTTTTTTTTGTAATTGGTAATTTCTTTACATTCATTTTAGGATGATATTGAAAATGTAATAGCACAAATCGAAAAAGAAGAAGCGCGAAGGCAACGTATCGTTGAAAAGACTGTAGAACCGCCGTCTCGACGTGTAAATTTTACTTTAACAGCTCATCCTTTTAAGGATGAGCTTATTATGTTTGGTGGAGAATTTCATGATGGACGAACGGTAATTTTAAAAACATTTTACATATTATTGAATTAGAATTGTAAACGTTAACAGTATTTTAGTGAATTAAAAAATATTGTAAAGTTTGATTTTCACTTAGACATTTGTTTACGGAGATATGTTTACATATAACATATGCAAAAATGATTGGACTGTCATAAAAGCACCTGGGGCACCACCTCCACGTTGTGGTCACCAAGCAGTAGCAACACCTATAAATAAAGGAGAACTATGGATATTTGGGGGTGAATTTTCCAGTCCATCAGAATCACAGTTTTATCACTACAAAGATCTATGGGTTTATCGCATCGGAGATAAAAAATGGGAAAAGATTCTGTATGTACACACTTGGTCAAAATTTAATATAATTGTCTTTTCTCTATTTCAAATTTACTTAAATTTTAATAGGGCTCCTGGTGGTCCATCAGCTAGAAGCGGTCACAGAATGGTCCATTTAAAAAGGCAATTGATAGTTTTTGGTGGATTTCATGATAATTTAAGGGATTATAAGTATTTTAATGATGTACATATATTCAACCTTGAATCATATGCTTGGCAGAAAATTGAATTGTCTGGTAATATTATATTTTATAGAAAGATTTATCTTAAAAATTGTTTGCACAATAATTAAATTAAAAAATGTTAGGTAACCCACCACTTCCAAGATCTGGCTGTATAATGCTACCAACATCTGAGAAAATTCTTGTGTATGGTGGTTATAGCAAAGAAAAGGTGAAGAAGGATCTTGATAAGGGTTACATTCACAGTGATGTGTTTGTAATGACTCCTGAAAGTAAGTAACTTCACTGAGTGATGTTTTACATTTAAATTTAAAATACTATTAATAATTCTATTTTAGAGAATGACCAATCTGGTTTAAAATGGAAGTGGGCATCTGTAAAACAATCTGGTGTTAAACCTTCACCTCGTTGTAGTATGTCAGCTGTTTTAGTACAACCAAATTTAGCTTATATATTTGGTGGAGTTTTCGATGAAGATGATGAAGAAGAACTTAATGGAATATTTCATAATGATCTAATGGCTCTAGATTTAGAAAAATTTCAATGGCATACCGGTAAGTATAAAAGTAAATATTTATCTATTGTTACAATACTGTGATTACGACGTTTATATAATTACTTTTAGTGACGTTATGCGGGAAGAAAAATACAACAGTACGACATCGCAGAAGAAAAGTGAAAGAAACTGATGGCGAAGAAAACAACAGCGAAAACGAAGATACCGAAGTTACAGAGTCTTATCCTGTTCCTACTCAGTCTGTGATTGCCGATGGGATATTTACAATGACAATAGGGCCGAGTCCAACATCTGTAATGCAGAAATCAAACAATACTCAAGAAAATGTATTTGTTCCATGTCCAAGAATAAATCCAGGACTAGTTGTAAAACATAATATTTTATACATGTATGGTGGTATGTTCGAAGAAGGAGATCGTCAGTATACGCTGAATGATTTCTATACTTTAGGTATTTATATTATTATGTTTAATGTTGTTTATAGACATGTACAAAATTGATTAAATAACATGTACATTCTATCGTCTTTTATATTTCTAGATTGTCGTAAATTAGATGAATGGAGGACGATAATAGCAGATGATTTATCTTCACAAGTCTGGTTTGATTCAAGCAGTTCAAGTTCAGAAGAAGGAAATATCGATAGTACTGATGAAGACACAAACAATTCTGAGAATGAATATATAGATACTGATGAACATTGATGTATATATTATATTATCGAAAAATGATTTTCACTGAAATATGTTATTTTTTATTGTCAAAAATAACACTTACGGATTAAGCTTTTACGTTTATCTTTACTTGTGACTCTCTTTTATGTATATTTTCCTTCACCTTCTCCATAATCAAAGAATCCTAGGAGGAAAACATATTAATATAAAATATAAACTATACCAAAATTAGTATAGAATATGATACAAAATTTACCTGCAACGTAATAAACAACGAACAATGAGAATTTAAACTATAATGTACACCATTTTCACTTTCTGTGTAATTACTTTTTAAAAAGATATGAATATTATAAATCTTGCTTCCTGCTTTAAGTAAATTTATAATTTCATTATAAAAAGTAACATTTTCGGGGTCAGAAAGTATAATGTGAACTAAAAACAAAAACATTTAATATTTCAGTAAGTGTGTTTTACTATACACTTATAATACATTACCTTCTGGAATCAATTTTTTACTAATGTCAGCGATGAGACTGCGAATGACTAATACTACGTCCAATGCTTTTTCTACTCTTCTATCAAGAGTTGCATCTCTCCACTGACTAAACTGTAATAATATCAACAAATATAATATTAAGATATAAAATATTTTAAATTATAATTACATACTTGTTGTGTCATTGGATATGGCGCTTCCATTAATGATGGTACTGAATAAAATTCTGGAAATTTACTTGACAACCTAGTATATAAATCGTCAGCGAAGAATGGCATTATCGGAGAAATTAAGCGTAACGAAACTTCCAAGCAAGTTCTTAAGCTATATGTATGACTCGAAATGACATCTGCATCTTCAGTTTTGAATCCCCACTTTGTAGCTTCCTATGTAGTGACAGGTAAAGTATTAATTATCCTGTCAGATGAAATTACATTCATTTCTTACAAACTTACCAAATAGAAGTCACAAAATTGATAATGTACAAATGATTTTAGGGATTCAATAACTTTGTGGATATCTCGATTTAACAATGCAAGATTAGCTATTTGAACTACAACCGATAATCTACTTAAGATCCAACGGTCGATGATAAGTGTTATACACTTTGGTTCCTGACATTGTTTTTCACTTGTTGCGAGTAAGATGTATTTACTTGCTTGCCACATTTTATTACAAAAAAATTTATTTGTCATACATTCCATCACATTAAAATTGATTTTTTCATCTATGTAAAAAAAAAATCAATAATGTAGTAAAAATTACAAACAAGTATTCTTTATATTAATGTATACTAACTTTTGACACTATGACTGCATAATGTCAAGCGTAATGCATCTGTACCACATTGTGGTATTCCATTAGGAAACATTTTTTTATTTCCAATTGACAGTCTTCTTAACTCTTTTTTACTAAGAATACCTGATTTGTGACTTTCATTCATTTGAGTATTAAGATCCTATTTACATCCGAAATGTTTAATGAAGTAATTTACATAAATCACATATATTAACACTTACATTTACTGTAGCACCATTAATAATATTTTCTGGTAAAACAATATTTCCAATGGTTTTAGACATTTTTTTTCCATGAGCATCACATAAAATACCATGTAAAAACACTTCCTGCGTATCAAAAATTTTTTAATGGACATTCAATTATATTACTGACAATTTTTAAGCAGCGACGTATAAAAAATATAAAAAGTATAAAAAGAAATTTTACATTGAAAGGTAGACGATTGGTCAACTCCAATCCTAACATGACCATTCGAGCAACCCAGAAAAATAAAATGTCATGTCCTGTTTCCATCGATGTTAACGGATAATAGTTCTTAAAATCTTCTGTCTAAAGAGACATGTATTAGTGTCATATAATGATTGTGCTATACATTTATTTAATTATTAAGACATACTTCTTTTGGCCACCCTAGTGCAGCAAAAGGAAGAATTGCAGAAGAAAACCATGTGTCTAGTACATCTTCATCTTGATGTAATTTTATGTCAGAGCCATAAATATTTTGAGCAATGAGCTGTGCATTATTTTTGTTTTGAGCAATAATCCATTCAGTTTTATCTCCATTTGTAACATAATAGGCTGGAATCTGATGACCCCACCATATCTGTCTCGAAATACACCAATCTCTAAAAAGAGTTTTGAGATTGAAAATTAATTGTAATATTGTTATTAATTTTTTTATACCTTTCATACAGATTTCATTTTACCTAATATTTTCAAGCCAGTCATACCATGATTGTTTATGTATATCTGGAATTATACGTAAATGACCATATGCAACAGCATCTATTGCTTTTTGTGCCATGGCTTTGCATTTTACAAACCACTGTTCCTTCAACATGTATTCTATAATATCCTGAGATCGTGAACATCTTGGTATGCTCATTTTATGATCGTGAATGCATCTTAGAAGACCTCTGTTTGATAACTCATCTAAGACTTTTTTTTTGGCAATGAATCTTTGAATACCCTGTAGTATTTATATTAGTTTTAGTTGAAAATAATTGTAATATAATGAGTTTATTATTATACCTTAAATTGTTTTCCTGCATCTGTTATGTTTCCAAGTTCATCAAAAACATTAACAATGTCTAGCTGATGATTTGTTGCAATAATGTAGTCTTCATTATTATGTGCTGGTGTTATTTTTACTGCCCCTGAAAACAATTTTTGTATTTACATTTTACTTACAACTTTACTAATAGGATTAAACATTTATAAAGATGGCTAATCTACTTACCAGTGCCAAAATCTCTATCAACGGAAGGATCAGCAATAATGGGAATATAGATTTCTCTAAAAGTATGCCAAACTTTTTGACCAATGTACTTTCCATATCTTTCATCATTTGGATGAACAGCAATTGCTACATCACCAAAAACAGATTCTGGTCTAGTTGTTGCTACTACTATTTCATCTTCTAATAATAGAAACATATTATTATGAAATGTAAATATATTAAATATGATAGAAAGTATTTAATATTAAGTAATACTTGAATTTTCAATTGGATATGCTATATGTGATATTTCGCCAAATGTAATTTTTTCTTTGTATCCTGGAACTCGAAGAGCAGTTCTTTCATTAATAAAGAGATGTTCTACTTCAATATCAGATATTGTACTATTTAAAGTTGGACTCCAATTGATCAAGCCTTTTTTTCTATATATTAAATCACGATCATGTAATATTATAAATGCTTGTGTTACAGCATCACTATGTTCCTAAAATTTTGTTAAGAACTTTATTAAAATATGTTTTATACGGCTAAATTTTATTACATACCTGACTCATTGTAAAATATTCTCTTGACCAATCTAAACTGGCACCTAAGGCTTTTAACTGATTTCTTATCCCAATTTCTTTCTGATTTTTCCATTCCCATATGTCTGAAAGAAATTGTTCTTTCCCTATCTCAGACCTTGTAACATTTTTTGTTCCTAAAAGGTATTTTTCTATCATCATTTGTGTTGCAATTCCAGCGTGATCGAAACCTGGTATCCATATAACAGGATGACCCATCATTCTATACCTGGTTTAAATTTACAATAATTACAATAGATACTAATAAATTATTAATAAAACATACCATCTTGCTAATATATCTTGAATTATAATAGTTAATGCATGTCCTAAATGCAATGTCCCAGTTATATTAGGTGGAGGTAATAACATTCTTAACGCTTCTTTTCTGCCAGGTTTAACAGAAAAATATTTATTCTTTTCCCAAAAATTATACAACTCATGTTCTCTATCGTTTGTATTATATATTTTCGGAAAATCTGAAATTTCATTATTGACAGTATAATAAACAGTAAAATTGTTTAGTATGGTATATAATGGTACAAATTTTAAAATATATATCGTTTTAAATTCATTGTCACCTAGTAATAATTCAGTAGAATAATTATTATAATAATATTTGCAGTAAGAATTACTACGTAAATTTAATCGTAGTATATTCATTGTAAATAAAGATTCAATATTTTATGTGTTTATCTGTGAAAGCTTTCGAGAAAACAAATCCTAAAAAAATTCAATAAAATATTTATTTTTGTATATCAAATTACAATGAGTTTCACTAATATGAAGAGTTTTCTTTAACTCTCAATTGGACTAGAATAAGAGTTTCGCTGGAATGGTAGGAGAAATGAGTTGATTGGGTTATTAGTACCAATAGAAAAGGAACACCAAAAGTAGAAATGTTCCGTGTTACTTCTTCTTACATGACTCTTTCGAGAAGCTATTAATCAGTGATTGTAAAGTTAAAAAGAGGTAGGGGCATTTTACAGTTCAAAGTCCTATATAGATAATTTATCTGACTCAATATTGTTGTTATTTCGCAGATCCTTTTGGCTTCCATTTGTATTCGAGAACCGGCACTTACATTATAACCGTCAGACAGTTAATGTCTTTTATAACTTCAATTCTTCTTCTTCAGTCTATCAATTCTTTTTTATTTTGTCTTTAAGTGTATCATTGTTTTATAATATTTCAAAATGTTACAGGTAAGTTTCATATTATCCATAACAAAAATTGTAAATATATCGACATTTGCAAGTATACAAAATAAATAAACATGCGTGATTCATTATCTTAGATTACTTAACACGTTCTTATACCTTGAAAATCGTAGTTTCAGAAGAAATGTATTTTCTTTTCAATACATTACTTGTTTGTGAAATCACAGACAGTATAAAATAATTCTGTATTGTGACCTGTTTCCTGTAATGTAGAATACTGCTCGAATTAATACAATTACAATATGAAATTTAACAAATGCACATTATAAATTAAAAATGATTTAAACAAAATATATATTTTGTTGGAAGTATTATATTCAAGGTGAATTGATTTATAATATATACATGAGCAATAGTCTATTATAACAGCTATTATATTACCATAAATGAATGTAAAATATGATCATAAATAATTGACAATCGTGTAATTCTATATATTACAGAGTGTCCAATGTTTTTAATGGCACAAAAGAGAGTGTTAGACAGTTACTTTGGTTTGGTTCCATAAAATAAATAATGTGATTAGGAATTATTTCTTTTTTAGTTTCAAGATCATTTGTCCCCTTAAATCAAATAACTTTCCTTAACAGACTTCTTTTGCGTTACTAAAGGAAATGAAGATATGTAAAAGAGCATAGAATTAAAGACAAATTTGAAGTAATAATTATTTGTGAGCAAAAATTTGAAATTTATTAACATATGTATAATGCAATACATTAAAAAAGATCTTTAAACGAATATTACAACTGACATATGTTTCAGGGAATGGTTGCACTTGTAACTGGAGGTGCATCTGGTTTGGGGCTAGGAACTGTTCAAAGATTTGTCAAACAGGGTGCTAAAGTTGTCATTGCAGATTTACCTAGTTCCAAGGGAAAAGAGGTTGCTGATGAATTAGGAAGCTCAGCTATATTTGCACCAACAGATGTAAGTGTCAATAAAGTGATGACAGTAGTATCATTATAACAAAAGTATATGAAATATAAATACAGATAGTCAATATTTTTTAAAATTTAGGAAATAAAAAAATATCTAACAAAGTCTCAAATTATAAAAAATGAAAAAAAGAACTAATATTACTATTGTTTCTGTAGTTAAATGTAAAACATCATAAATGTGCTACTACTCATGTCAAATAATTTATAATTTTGAACTTGCTACCACAAAAGAACGTTTCATATATGTAGAAATTTCTTTGTTTCCAGGTGACATCGGAACAGGACGTACATGCAGCTTTAAATGCAACAAAGCGACACTTTAACAAATTGGATGTTCTAGTGAATGCAGCAGGAATAGGTTTTGCTAGTAGAGTATTTAATTTTAATCGGGGTGTCCCGCACACCTTTGACGATTTTTCTAAAGTATTTAAAGTAAATGCGGGCGGAACATTCAATTGTGTTAGATTAGCTGTAGAACTTATGTACAAGAACGAGCCAAACGAGGACGGACAACGTGGAGTAGTAATTAACACAGCAAGCGTTGCAGCTTTTGACGGACAAATCGGTCAAGCAGCGTATTCTGCCAGCAAGGGTGCAATAACCTCTATGACTTTGCCATTAGCTCGTGATTTAGTTAAAGCTGGCATTCGTGTTGTCACGATAGCGCCTGGAATAATGGACACACCTTTATTCAAGGCACTACCGCCTAAAGCGGTCTTATTGTTGCAACAATCGGTACCATTCCCTTCTAGACTCGGTAAGCCCGACGAATTCGCTCAGCTTGCACAACATATTGTTGAAAATTCTTATCTGAACGGAGAAGTTATCAGATTAGATGGTGCACTCAGGATGCAGGCTTAAGAATTTATGCGACCATACGTGATTATCATACGTGATTATCTAAATATAAGATTGGATCAAGAATTTACAGTTATATTAAAACTGAAAACTTGTAACATAGGACAACAAAGATATACAAGTGTATGAATAAAGATGAATAAAAATAAATAATTTTTTTGCTACATGTAACACCATTATAATTTTCTTAAACTATACACGAATTAAACGTTTTTAATCGATTACAGGTATCAACAATTCTCTTTATTACCTTAGGACTCTCTACAGTTACATCTTGTAAATATGTTGGAAAAGTCCTAACCAAGACCTGATAATAATTCAGTATAATGATTATTATAACAATAATGACAATAAGAATTAATGTGTAAATTTAATCGTAGTATTTATCAAATTGTTAATCAAATCTGTTTGCAAAATATTTATTTTTGTACATCAAATCACAAAAGAGACCTTATAGGAGTTAAGTCTACATAATGGTATTTGTATTTATTTATGTATATACATGTTTATAAATATTAAAATGTAAAGTTTACAATTATATATACACGTAATATCTTTTATATTTATTAATATATTAATACTTATACATCTTAAAAGCACAACTATATTTTGTATTGATAAATTAAACAAGAAATCATAAATAATAAATATAAGAAGAAGAATACACAAGAAATAAATGGAAAGAATAAAATTATTCTAAAAGTGTTGATATCATCCTAGAAACAATGAAAGAAATTATATAAGTTAAGAAAAAAATATGTAAATGTTCCAAAGTTTCTATTTAAAATATGAACGCTTCGCGGTATTTAGGGTACATAGGTAATGATGCGAGAAAAGATACAGTATCCAAGTATTTAGCTTTAACGATTAGTTTTAACATTAATTATATAACGGTAACTGAACCATAAACAACAAGGTCAAAAAATATTTATTCCTTATTTTTAAAATGCGACAATCTCCTTTTTAGTCATTTTATAATACTAATATGCAGAGTTTTCTTTAACTCTCAATTGGACTAGAATAACGGTTTTGCTGGAATCGTAGGAGAAATGAATTGATTGGGTTTCTAGTATCAGTAGGAAAGAAACACCAAAAGTAGAAATGCTTTGTCTTACTTCTTCTTACATGACCCTCTCTCGAAGCTATTAATCGGTGATTGTAAATTTAGCAGGAGGTAGGAGCATTATACAGTTCAAAATTCTACATGGATCAGTTAACTGACTCAATGTTATTGTTGTTTCGCAGATCCTCGTGGCTTCCATTTGTATTCGAGAACCGGCACTTACAATTATAACCATCAAACAGTTGATGTTTTTTACATCTTAGTCTACCAATTCTTGTCTATTTTGTCTTTAAATGTATCGTTGTTCTCTAATACTTTGAAATGTTAAAGGTAAGTTTCATATTATCCACAACAAAAATTACAAATATATCTAGATTTACAAGCATGTGAAATGTAAATGTGCGCGATGTGTCGCGATTCATTACCTTAGATTACTTCAGACGTTCTTATACCTTGAAAATCGTAGTTTCAGAAGAAATGTATTTTCTTTTCGATACAGTACTTGTTTGTGAAATCACATACAGTATAAAATAATTCTGTATTGTGACCTGTTTCCTGTAATATAGAATACTGCTTGAATTAATACAATTACAATATTAAATTTAACAAATGCACATTGTAAAGTAAAAATAATTAAAAAAAATATATATATATGAACAATTTACACAAAATATATATTTTGTTGGAAGTATTATATTTAAGGTGAATTGATTTGTAATATGTACAAGAGCAATAGTCTATTATAACAGATATTATATTACACATAAGAATGCTTATTATACTCCTTGATTTATTAAATAATAAGTTTACTAGAAAATTATAGTTTACTTAATATGTCATTTAATATATGTTTCATTGTTGTATCCGCAATACATAAATTTAATAGTACTATTCATTATTTTATGATTATGTAATGATATAATATATAGATTAAACAATTCGTTAGCATTATTCGGTAATATTTAATAAGAGTGCAAAGGAGTAAATGTAGAAATTTATAGAATTTTATAAAGCAAATTTCTTTTTAATTGGCATATATTACAATAAAGAATGTAAAATATGATAATGAATAATTGACAATCGCGTAACTTGTTGTTTCATAGTAATTATTAGTAACTGGTCCATGTTTATTATTTATTATTTTTATGTACCTAAATGCTTATTTTCCTATGTGAACTTTCTTTGTTATAATGAACATTCTTAGAAAAAAATAACATGTAACTTATTTCATTTACTTTATATACTACAGAGTATCCAATGTTTTTAATGGCACAAAGGAAAGTGTTAGACAATTACTTTGGTTTGATTCCATGAGACAAATAATGTGATTAGGAATTTTTTCTTTTTTAGTTTCAAGGTCATTTGCTCCCTTAAACCAAATAACTTTCCTTAGCAAACTTCTTTTGTGTTACTAAAAACAATGAAGATATGTGAACAAAGATAAAATTAAAGACAAATGTATGTATAACACAGATACTTTAAGTGTGTTGTACAGTTTAGTAACTTGTGCAGAATATAATTCAATTTTGAAGTAATAATTGTTTGTGTGCAAAAATTTGAAATTTATTAACATATGTATAATGCAATACATTAAAAATAAATCTTTAAACGAATACTGTAACTGACATATGTTTCAGGGAATGGTTGCTCTTGTAACTGGAGGTGCATCTGGTTTGGGGCTAGGAACTGTTCAAAGATTTGTCAAACATGGTGCGAAAGTTGTCATTGCAGATTTACCTAGTTCCAAGGGAAAAGAGGTTGCTGATGAATTAGGAAGCTCAGCTGTATTTGCACCAGCAGATGTAAGTGTCAACAAAGTGATGACAGTAGTACTGTTAATAACAGAAGTATTTGAAGTATATATATATATATATATATATACAGACAGATAGACAAAGTTTTTAAAAAATGTAGGAAATAAAAAAATATCTAACAGAATCTTAAATTGTAAAAAAAGACATGTACTTCCCAGTTTGTTTTGTACACTGCAGAGTTGTGCATTTTAATAGCAACATGTGAGAACTAATATTACTATTGTTTCTATAGTTGAATGTAAAACATCATAAATGTGCTACTACTAATATTTTTAGTAAGTACTATGAATTCATTTTGAAATAGATCACATTTCTTACATCAAATACTCATGTCAAATAATTCATAATTTTGAGCTTGCTACCACAAAAGAACGTTTCGTATATGTTGAAATTTCTTTGTTTCCAGGTGACATCGGAACAGGACATACTTGCAGCTTTAGATTTAACAAAGCAACACTTTAACAAATTGGATGTTCTAATGAATACGGCAGGAATAGCTTGTGCATATAAAGTATTTAATTTTAATAAGAATATCTCGCACTCCTTTGACGATTTTATCGATGTATGTAATGTAAATGCGGGCGGAACATTCAATTGTGTTAGATTAGCTGTAGAACTTATGTACAAGAACGAGCCAAACAAGGACGGACAACGTGGAGTAATAATTAACACAGCAAGCGTTGCAGCTTTTGAGGGACAAATGGGCCAGGTTGCATATTCTGCCTCCAACGGTGCAATAGTCTCTATGACATTGCCGTTAGCTCGCGAATTATCTCAAGTTGGCATTCGTGTTGTCACGATAGCGCCCGGACTAATGGACACACCTTTGACGTCGTCAATACCAAAAAAAGTGATCGATTTTTTGAGTCTATCGATACCATTACCAAGTAGGTTCGGTACGCCTGACGAATTCGCTGAGCTAGCACAACAAATTATTGAAAATCCTTTTCTGAACGGAGAAGTTGTCAGATTAGACGGTGCATTCAGGATTCAAATTTAAGAATTTATGCGAGCATACGTGATTATCATACGTGATTATCCGAACATGAGATTGGATCAAGGATTTACAATTATATTAAAATTAAAAACTTGTAACAGAGGACAACAGAAAGACATACAAGTATTATGAATAAAGATGAATAAAAACAAATAACTTTCTTAGTACATGCAACACCATTATAATTTTCTTAAAATATACACGAACAACTAAACGTTTCCAATCTATTATAGGTATCGACAATTCTCTTTATTACCTTATTACTCTGTACATTAACGTCTTGTAAATATGTTGCAAAAGTCGCAACACCCTTCTTTTTTCATTTTTTTTTTAAATAGTTCACTAGAGTATCGTCTAGCAAAAAGGTTGTGTACATAGTATTAACATAAAAATTTGCTCAGTTTCCCCCGTGTCTATTATTCGATTCCCGGTTAGTCTTTCTTCCCAATAACCTCCGGAGATTTCCAGAATTCCAGCAAATGCTGAAACTTATTTTGATGATTTTTCGGAAGAGCCAGTTTATTCGTTAAGGCAGGATAATCGGGATCTCCGAGGTCTAGTCAATCCTAGGCATTCGATTCTTTCAGATTTTGCAATTTCTCCAACTGATCGGGTTGTAACTCATCTGGAATACTTGCCCTTCCCGCCATCACCATTTTCTTCGGTACAATCTCAATATCTTCCGTTTCAGTTTCTTGCACCTCGACCACCGTACCTCGTGATGGTATCGATTGGGAATTATCGCCTGTACTAGGGCCGGATGTTGAGTCTGCCTCGCTACCGGAACTGCTACTAACCGGAAATGGTGCCGAGTCCGTTGGTAAATCGTCCACCGTCGATTTCTCTTCGATGTCCTCCGCTGCATCGGTAGTCTCTTGCTCCTCCTTCTCGTCCATAATCACGGTTGCCTCTTTGCAATCGCTTTCATTTATATCCGTGGTGGTGCTCGACGGCATATCGCCCTCGGAGCTTTCCGTCGATTTAACCGTGTCGTCAACAGTTTCTTCCATCCCAGGGAACGGATGCTCGACCTCTTCCATCGGCGTCGCCGCTGTTATTACAATCTGAGCGACACCTAGTCCAAATTCATCTTTGGACTGGTCGTCGTCGGTCGCTAAATCTTTCGCTTTCTCCTCATCGGTCTGGAAGTACAGAGTGTGCAACGATTAATATACACCGCCGTGGGATCGGCCTTTCGTTCTAATCACTTCTTCCCTGAACTACCATTTACCTTGGTTCCAGATTCATCCGACACTTCTACAACTAAGCGGCAGTTTTGTATAAATTCAGTCACGGATTATTATATACAGAGGAGAGTAGTCGATGCTAATTTTCAAAGTGGCTATAGCGTAAGATCATTTCTACTGACCTACGATCCCGGGCCCGTCGGACTCGTCCCCGAATTGCGAGCCGTAGTGGCTTTTCTGGTCCTTGGACAGATTTATCATGAAACCTTCTTGCTGTTGCTCGGCGTTCGCGTTGCTGGGTTTCTCATCTTCCAAGTCCGCGTTCACTGGAAAGAACGAACGGAGGTATACCTTTCTCTTCTTCTCCATCGGTTCACTTGTTACCGATGATTTCGATACCTTTCATCATGCTCTGCGTTAATTCGTCCTCTAAGAAGAACTCCGGAACCTCGGGAGGTGTGAATACAGGGGGCGCGGAACTCGGCGGCGTTATATTATCCTGACAATCGCACAGGAAACATTAGAGAAACATAAAAACTGTCTATATCTCTGCATTCGATTATCAATTGAAATTCAACCTGCGGGGTTAAAGGTGAACCATCGGCGGCGCACGGCTCCATGATCAAAGAGGGGAACAGTCCTCGATGTCCGCGTATTTCTCCCTCCCACCATCCGTCGTCGACGTCGTGCGGCTCTTTGTTTATAATCTTCACGATGTCGCCTTCGTAGAAGCTGACCTCTTCGTCGCACGTGGCGTCGTAATCGTAAAGAGCAATACAGAATTGTTCCACTTCTGCAAGAAGATCCAGTTTCACTAAATGAACCAGCGGAACCGAGTAAACAGAATATTATTTTTCTTTAAAAAGTTTACCTCCTATATGATTCTGTACAACAGCCTCCGGAGCAGCTTGTTGCAAGTTAGCGTCGGGATCGACCGCGTCGTGATCGTCGATCGTGTAGTCCACCGAGGAGAAAGAGATCTGTTGCGTGAGACTGGGCCCCTGGGAAGTCAAACCGGAAGCGGCCTCGGGCTCGCGCTCAACGTCAAGATAATTCTGAGGAACGAAACCCTCTTCGCCGCGGTAGTTGCGGGCCCGCAGCCAACCATCCCCGTCCCCTTCGCCGACAACCTCCAGCTGTTCACTCTCGACAATTGACAGTTCGTCTGGATTTTGTGCCTGCGAAACAATTGCCGTCACTTCGAATTTGCTCATGGAAATTTACACTTTTGTTTCAGGCATTTATGTGCAACGCTGTTCGAATCTTCCTTCGATCACGACGTTTAACGCTAGGTTTACGGAGTGCAATTTCACGCATACTGAATTTTATAAACATTACTTGGCAAACGTTTATGTCGGTTTTCGTTGATGCAGTTACAAGAATACGTATCGTGATAACCTATTTAAATAATTTTAAATCCGGATAGTAGTCTTGATGCTTTCACGGCCTGGAATATTATTACATTCATTTTTGGCTTTCGGATGAAAGAAAAAAAAAAATGAATGTAATAATTTTAAATCTTTAAAGGGATAATAATTTTAAATCTTTAAAATATCTTTAAATCGGAGGTCTATGTACTCGAAGTTTCTAACGAAGAGAAAACCGATATGATTTTCAGCGTTAGACGTACGGTGTATGAATAAAGCGCGGTGCATTTGTAGATCGGCTGCGAGGGAGGTGGTTCGGTTGTTTCGCGGACTTCCGTTGGCTCGTCCTTCTCCTCGTTGTCCCAATCTACCGCCGTTGGATCGTCCCAGCCGACGGTGAGCTGCTCTATTCGTTGTTTTTCTTGTTCTAGTAAAGCTGTTACAGAAAACGCACACTCGATCAGCCGGCTGCTAGATGCGTAAACCTAATCGATCAACGCTATTTCATTGATAGCATATTCACCGTCGACTTCCTCGCTGTCGTGCCTCTGCCTTTCCTCGGTTGTCTCTTCCTCCTGCTGGGACGTGTTTTTCGCGCTGCCTGGCCGTTCGACAGTCGTCAAATCGCTTCCGCCGTCGCCGTCGCTGTCGTAGAACGAATCCGAGGATGGATGTTCCTGAGAACAAGAATGGAAACCTAATTGCAGTGGAAACAGACGGCAGTCTTCGGTGCCACTGATTCAACCACTGAATTCTATTGTATTTCAACGGAGTGAATTAACCCTTTGAGTGCTGTGGACTGTATATATGCGTCCAGCGAAAGTCATCGCTGTGGACTGTATATATGCGTCCTTCGATTTTAATTCCACAGGTGCCACGGCAACAATTATAAGTATGTGATTAATATATATATTAATCTTAATATATATTAATATATATTAATTATTATATTAATAATTAATAAGTATGTGATTAATATAATATAACGCGTTTCTCGGCACCATTCGATTTGATGAAACTAAGGAACCACAGTAACAATTTAATCACAACTTAATTATACGAATCAACATTATCAATCCTCGGATGAACAACGAAACGTTCCGGCTAGAAGCATTCAGCACCCAAAGGGTTAAGGGATGAAACGAACTGAAAGCGTCAAATGCGTTATTCCTAGGAAAGCAAACGAAGATGGCAAGTACCGCGGTTCCAGACGCGTCGGTCCTCACGGAGAGGGAGCTGGCCGAACGTGGCATGTCCTGTACACTCAATGTCTCGACCTCTTGAAGCCATTCGTCGACGTTCACTATAGAAACAATCAGAGGAAGAATGACGATCCGATAAAGAACGAGAAGGTGTTCGTTCGAACAAGATTGATCGCACACTCGAACCGACAAACAGACAAGAAGTTTAACGAACCTCCGCCGTTCCGAAGGCAATCTATTCTCGCCTCGGCCTTCAGTTTCGCTGTCTAATGAACAAGTGAAAACATGTTAGCAAGCGAACTCACGGTTTCCCGGGAGTCTTACCTCTGCGCGTCGAATCGCGTGCTTCAGTTCGTCCATCTTCGTGTCCAAGTCCGGACCCTGCGGATCGTTCGGATCAGTCTGTAAAAATGACGATCAACGGACACTGAGGTTTCGAGTTCCACGGACAGACTCGATCGTCGGACGGTGATTACCTTTTGCCCGGACTCCTTCAGCTGCGCGAGAACCTGGAGTTTCCTATTATTCTCCCGGATGCTACTCATCTCGCGCGCTATTCTCGTCGACCAGCGACGAGCCTCTTTCCCGAGCGTGGCCGCGGCAGAGTGATCGGCGGTTACCCTGCGAACAATTCGTCGCCCCGAGTGTAATTAGAGCGCGACGTTCCAACCCCCCGATTAATCACGAGATTTCGGGAAGGAGCGCCGACGTTTCTCGGTTTTTAGTACGTGTGACTCACAAACCTGTCCACGGGATCGTTGTCGCAACACTCGAAGTCGTACTGTATGTGTTGCTTCAAAACAGGATAATACAAACAGCAACACTGTATATTGTACTCTCTGGTGAGCTACAACACGCACGGAAGAAACAATGAACCGACGGAACCAAAATCGTTTACCACTCAGAACGATCGTTCTTGTTTTTTATCGGTTCCATGGCGTGACCGACCGGTTACTCACTTGTTGCGCTTGGTCGCGAATCTTAGTGAAGCTGTTCTGGGTTGCCAGGCAGGTCAATAGTTCGGTTCGACCCATCAGCGTTAAGTATTCGGCCACCTTGTCGTACACGCCTTGCTCTAAATACTGTCGCCGGCAAACAGAAGGAAAATTCTCTTCAAACCGTTTTTTCCCCAACCACACGTGAAAACGAAACACGGAGAGAATCCGCTCACCTGCATGGTGTTTTGTAAATCAACTACAAAATATCTATTTTGGTGGGCATTCGCAGCGGCGAGACTGAGTAAATAATCGTTCCGAGCACCGGTGGACTTCTCCTCCAAAGCGTCGCGTTTCGAGCTCACCTGCGGGCATCGATAATCTAATGAAAACACGCCGTTCCGCTCGCAAAGAGCGTTTCATTGTTTCATCGTCGTTCCTCTGTGCGTGCGTACCTTCGCGCTGTTTTTCTGCAATGACGTTATCGACTGAAAGAAGGATCCTTTCTTTTTCTTTAATCTGGAAACAAACGTATCGACCTCGGTGTATTAGTCCGCCGGTTGATCGAAACAGCGAGAGTTTAAACTTGGACACATACTTCTCCTCTATATCTTTCGCCTTGTCCCGGACGTCGTGAGCGCTGTGCTCCTCATCGAAGTACAACTTTTTCGTTTTGTCCACGTCCTGGACGCACATTTGTAATTCTTTTTGTACTATCATCAGTTGGTCGATCGCCTGAAAGAAGACACCCGGGTCAGAAGTCTCGTATAATCCGCGCGAAAGAAACTCTAATCGATACCTTCTTCGAGATCTGAAGTTTGTGCATTTTTAAGCTTTTCGCGTCGTCCGCGATCTGCTGCTGGAAAACCTCGACCGCCGCTAACCGGGCCCTGGCCAGCTTCTCGTTCTCCTCCAGCACGGTCCGCCAAACGTTCCACATGTTCCTAAAGCGTGACACACCTACGCGTAAGAATCGTCTCGCGCGAGAACGACAAAGATTATCTGTCGCTTTAACCCCTTGCTTTACAATAACGTGTACACGCGATGGAAATTTCAAAGAGAATCGAACAAGCATGGACGTTCGCTCGAACCTTTACAATTCTAATGAAATATTGTTCCTTTTAACAAAGATTCATATAAAATACAAATATAATTTTCTTTTCCTCGATAAATCATTAACGACAAAGCAGTCGCGTCGGTCACAGCCGAGAGATAAATCGTAGGGCAAGAGGTTAAACGAAAATTCTACGAAAGACAAAATATCCGAATTTCATCGGTGCAACGAATCGAGTTATCTGAAATGAATTTCTTCCGGTAAACAGACATCGCGGCTGGAATATCCTGTACCATTTCTCATCGCCGCCGTCAACCTTCAGGTCCGGGATATTCGGTATTTTCTTGTTCAAGTAGGCGGAGGATATTTTCAGGAGCGCCTGAAACGAATCGTGAGTCAGCCGTGGTATCGAACGTGCACGAATCTTTTGTCCCGGTGAACTCACCTCGGAGTACGATTTCTCGATAGCGGATTTCTTAATCGTGAAGTTGCTGGAAGCACAAAGTTCGATGAAGCGGTTCAACGTTTAATTACCAATAATCCGGCGGAATCTACGGACGCCTATCGGGATCGTTGATGGATCGCCGATCGAATCGCGCAAGCGGTCGCTCTTGATTCTCCCGTAACGAGCTCGCGATGTTTACGCGAACATCCGTTGTCGGCCTCGCGATAAACGTTCAATCGTTATCCGCGAAACGAACGTTTAATGGAACAGACGTCGATACCCGAGATACGAATGGTCCTGTATCAGTCGCGGTCGGTGGGTGTCGACGATTCATAATGGAATCAAATGAAATCGCCGCGCGTCGGGTAAACGATACGCGCGCAACCTCGATGATAAATCGAAAAACCGCCGACGATACCGGGCCGAGCGTCGATTCACGGTCCGGGAGGGAACGAGCACGATATCTCGGGGTGAACCCGTTGAAAGTAAAAGTGTAACCGCCGAAGAGAAATGGAAAACGCTGACGCGATATTACTCGACGGCGTGTTTAAAAGGCTTTCGTCTAATCCCCGTTTACATAAGTCCGAGACTCACCGAATGTCTTCCAGAAGGTCGCACTCGTGCTGATTTTTCGCCTGCAACTTCGCCGCCTGCTCCGCGTGCACATTCTTCAAGAATTTTGCGTAATTTCCCTGCGGGAAGAGAATCAACATCTCAGCGGGTGGGCGATCTGCTTCTCGTCCGACGGATTCCGGATTTTCTTTCTCTCTTTTCTCGTATCACCGGATACGAGAGATTGTTAAAAGGGTAATTCCCTCGCGAACGAGCACCGGTCACGGGATCGTCCGAGCGAGAAAGGGAAGATCCCGATTCGTTCATTAGCTTACGGAACGGCCTCTCCTAGCGGGGGATGGAAGTTCTTCCGGTGGGTGGAAAATAAAGGGTTGCCTCTCTTTCCGCTTCGATTATTGGTCGTTTGCACGGCTATCCGATAATTGCCGGTCAGGGGAGCTAACAAAGGTGACGCTTTAATCAGCGGCGACGACGTTGTTCGAAGTCAAGTTCAATTTTGCAGTACATGCAGCTGCATCGGCGATCCCGTTACGCGCCGGGGCTCGCATTGACCCCGTGAACTCTGACGGACGTTCGTCCGAGCGGACACGCTCGCCGTTCGGACATCTACGCCCCGGCATGGAAAATCAATGAGTTTCTTGTGACCGAGAAAATCCGACTTCCCGATGATCGCCGCGGTGCCGTTCCGCCGAGCACGAACAGTCATCGAGACTTACACGCCTGGACTGTCACGAGAATTTTCAGCGTTTCGTGGAAATAATGTTACTTGCTCTTTCTACGGCGAACGTGAACGGTATCGGGAATGATTATCAAAGATTCTATATCACAGTTCTCGCGTTACACCATTATTCAGTTACTCGAGTTGTTAAATAATAGTATAACGCGAGAGTTATGATGTAGAATCTTTGATCGTTATTCCTGATACCGTTCGCTATTATTTAGCTGTACTATTATTTAGTTACTTAAGTCGATAAACACGTTTACGTCCAACGTCGAGTCGCTTATTGCAATTGTTTTCAGGCAATCGAAAGCTCCAGCCTTGGCCGACCACCGCAAGTCGACGCGTTAAATATAAGAGTCCTCAAGGACAACTTGGGAATCGTTCTACTCCCCGCCGCTTATGCAGTAACGGACGACGAGATTTCAAGAGAATCTCAGTCGATTGGAATCGGTTCGACGAGGGACTCGCGAAAGAAAATGGGGCGACGCCACCGGGGAGGAGGGAAAGGGAGGTTTCCCCGTCGAAGACATTCTCCCGCTCGAGAAAACAAAGTTCGCTTATTATCGGGTTTATTACCGGCCACTTAAAGTTAGCCGGCTCAAAGGGGCGGGGAGAATTTTTACGAGCCCGGTTACAGCACCTATGAGAAACCTGTAACGAAAACCGACTGGTGTCCGCTTGAAATTGTTTTCCAATGAACAAAGTTCGACAGTAATTCTCGCACTGTCTTTATTCGAATAACGTTGTATAATAAGAAAAGTACAGAGTGTAAGGAAAATAATTTCAACGTGCCCGTTGAAAAATCGATCGTTAGAAAGCTGGTCGGACAGTGTAAGAGCGTTGCTCTTTCAACGATTGCTCCCGTATTGTGCTTAGCAATTACGAGCAGGAACGTCGTTTCGTCTTTAAGATTAAGATCGTTAGAAAAATCCTTAATACATACGACGGATCCGTTCGCGTCCAACGACGAGAAGAGGTATCGCGCGTATGCTAATTTCGGGCGAGACGGCCCCACGTGCGACGCAACGCGACGCGACTCGACGCGACGCGACGCGTATCGCTGCTAATCAATCGACACAAAAGGGCAACCTCGTTCGGTCTGGTTGGAATTCCGACGGGTCTCCTATCGATTCTCCTTGGATGTCTGGCGTTGCATTTTTGAATGCGTCCGCGGTCTAAAGACTCGCGCGTAATCATCGTGTGCGCGCCCGCTGGTTCCTGCATTGTTACGCGGATCGTTAAACGAGGGAAAGCTACGTCGCCGTCGACCGCGATGCAAATTTCGACGCATCCTTTTCCTCTTCTTCTTCTTCTCCCAGCCGTCCTCCGCTCGGAAAACCATCTCGTTCCGCTTCGATCCGCCCCCTGCCCGGCGCAACAGCCTCGGCACACCGTCCGCCGAATGCAATTTTAATACGCGTCAATTTGTTTAATCCGCTCGAGCCGCGGCTACTTCCGATTATTCCGCGGAAGGCCATCCTCGGTCGGTTCGTTCGGGATCCGAGGGAAACAGGAGGATTCGCGAGGAAGATCGCTTTTTCGGTGTCACCCTTCGCGGATAAAGATTCTTTAAAATGGAAACCAGCGGATGAAGCTAAATTATAGATTGATTAAATGGTTAGAAACGCAACTACCGATCTGGCTGTTCGGGTAATCGTCGAACATTTGTTTGTTACTTAGTGCTCCAAATATGAGTCTCATCTCGTCTACGTTCGTCGAAGGGTTAACCGTTTACTTAGCACCGTTTAGCCTTTTCCACGTTGATCCTCATTTCGCTCGGATCATTCGAACTCGCGAATATTCCCGAGAAGCCTGTTAACGGTCTACGTGTATTTATCCCGTAATATTCCGAATACACGGATCAATCGGAGAGCGCGGCAGGGTTAATCGAACGGATTTCCCGGACGGCGAAAGTTTCGGTTGTTTGCACTGGTGGAAATGAATTTCGCTTTAATTCGAGAGGCGGGGTTTATCTCGGGGCGGAAAGGCCTGGCTTTTAAGCCGGCGCGCGGCTCGCCCTCGACAAAGTGCCACGACGCAGCGAAGGATTTCAGGCTCCGGATAAAAGAGCACGGTAAATTTATTGCCGGGACCCGTGGCAAAGACGTTTATTACTTTGAAAAAAAAAGAGGAAGAAAGAAAAAAGAGAGAAACCCTTTATCGATCAGCGCGCGGAGACCGTCGACATGGCTCGCTAGGCGGCAAGAAAGGGACGGCGGCGGACGAGTGTGTGTTCCAAGGATACTTCCGTCCGGCGAATAAGTAATCAGGGGTAGCTTTTAAGCTGGCTGTCCGTTTCAAAGTGGAACTATTATGAGTTGCTCTCGAGATCATTTCATACAAGTGAATATCACGATGAGAGCGACTATCCGAAAGCATTGTCGAACTCGTCGACGTCGTCCTCGTCGTCGTCGTCGCTCTTGAAACGGTATCCACTCGCGAGAAACGCTCTCGACGACTCGCGATAATTTCACTCTCAAACGGATACGGCGCCGTTCTTTCGGGGCTGCTTTCAGCGGAATACGCGAGAAGAACGGTCGGGTCGGACAAACACGGAATCGCCCGAAGAAACGCTCTCGCGACGAGTGCGAGGGGACAAACGGAGCGGAGCCGAAACGCGTTCTCCGAAGTTTCCTCCAGCGCGGAGAACGCTCGCTCCCTTTTTTCCGCGATCCCATCCCTTTGCCCTCCCCCGCTGGCGGCCGCGGGGATCGGGTCTTCCCGGATTCTTATCGGGTGACTAACGTTCGACGAATGGAAGTGGGTCAGGAATCCCTGGATCTTTAACTACGAAACTTCATTGTCGTCGAACGGGGCGAAGGGACGGCGGGCCGGCAAATAGGTCAGTAAATTTTATTGCCCCCGCCGGCACGGGGACCGCGGAATAATCCGCTTAAGGATTACTCCTTTGATCTGTTCTCGAACCGGGAAGCGAGGACGCAGCGTTAACTTCTGGTCCCGCACTCGGTCGACCGTGATGCGATTGAACATCGCGGAGTTTCAGGGAATCGCGAGAAATTCTATTCTTCTTTATAGAACAACGAGAAACGTTTCATCCACTGTGGAACGGATTTTTCAACTTTCGCGAAACTCCTCGCGAACGAAGAATGGAATGCCGCGAAGTTTTAATGTCAGCGGTGAACTATACGTCGGAGGTAGGCAAATGAAATGAGAAATCGTTATCCGCATGCATAATGAAGGACATATTATTACGCGAGGTCGACAGGACCTTATAATCGAGCCAGTCGAAGCTTCCAGTCTGATGAATAAAGATCGAGACGTTATCGCGGGATGCTGCGAAAACGCCTAACCGATTTTCGGAGACGAGAGCCGCGAGATCGACCGAAGAAATCCGTGCAGAATCGTTGCGTTTCAGTGACCGAATGTCACTCGAAGGCTACCGGGGGATGTACCAATCACGAGAGAACATGGCCACCGAAAATTGCCCTACATTCAAAATTCAGGATCGATCTCGATGGACACGAGGGCATCGTGTCGCGGCGTAAGAAAGGGACGAACGGTCGGGGACAAAGGGAAGATATCGGAGCCGATAGAACGGGAACGCGCGAGGAGGAATCGTGTGGAACGTACGCGACAATGCGGAAACCGAAGACGAAGAGTCCCCCGGAAGAGTATCGGACGGATGTCACGGCGAACGCACGACGTTCCACGCAATATCGTCCGGGTCTTTGGCCTGTCCCGTATATTTCCAGGTCAACTTTTCATACGCAGGGGAACGAGCGAACAAACGAACGAACGAACGGGCGAGCGAGGGCCCGAACCGCGCATCGATTTTCCCATCCTGGCCGACGTTTCAGCTGGGTTTACGTCAATTTTCCCGTAAGACGACGCCGAAGATCGATACCCGGATATACCTCGATCGTTCCTGAAGAATAAAGGACGAGGCATCGGGCCTCGGCGGTCTCGCGGCGCGTGACACTTTACGAGCATGCTTTTTCCCTCAGTCACCAACGTGCTCTTTTGTTTCTCTTCTCGCGGAAATCGATCAGCCGAATTTCCCTTGGTGCATGCGAGAACAAGAGATAGAGAGAGAGAGAGAGAGAGAAGAAGAGAGAGAGAGAGAGAGAGACAGAGGGCAAGAGCGACAAAGGAAAGATTGTTCGGTGATTCTCAGGGATCCTGAGGAACTCACCGGAAGCGCGCGCACAGGAAATCTGTTTGCAGGAAGAGCGTAATGAAGAATGACCAGGCGAGAGAAGAAAGAGAGGTCCCGTCCCGATCGAGGGGAGAAAAGTAACATGCATGTGGCCTCGGAGGCGGCTTCTTACTTTTCTGGGTGGTGGTTGCATGCTGGACGAGCGGCCTGCTCTGCAGCCTCACCGCTGGCAGCCCGTTTTACACCGTCCGCCGGGGAGGGGTGCTCTGTTGTTTTCGTACGCCTCACCCGACACACAACAATAAACGCGCAACCACCCTCTTCACTGCTCGCGTGTTCGTACGCTACTGCTCTCCTGCCCTCGACCGAACTAGCCTGTTTATTGATCGCACACGCGCCTGCGTCCTCTCGATGTTACGCCTTCGGGATCTCTCCTCTCGCTACCCTCCTACTCTCAACCCCTTTCGACGTCTACCGCTGCTCTCTCGCGCCACCCGCTTTTCTTGTCGCTTACCGACTGGAATGAACCTGTTAACCGGAGGGAGAGCGACGGTTGAATCGCGACTCGCGTTTCACTCGATTCTTCCAGTCGTTAATGGAGTCTTGTATTTTACGAGATAGATATTTTGCATTTACCTTCGGTTGACAAGTTCATTATCTTCACCGCGCCGCGCGTTCGCTTAGTTATTTCGAAGGGTTCTCGATCGAAATTCAATCACGATCAGAATTCTGAAACAATGTTTATATGGAGAGAAGATTGTAGAATTCAATCGTGATTGAAATTTGCCGAGTTATTCTGGGGTTGCGATCGTTAATTGTAAGATTCGAATGCGTGCCGAGCGTGGTGTCGCGTTTACGAGTAAGTGAGAAAATCAACGAATAAACATAGACTCGGAAACGGTATTCAACTTTATTAATCGTATAAAACGGGAGAGTGCTCGTCGCAGGTGTACATACCGAACGAATCGTTAGTTTGCATTTTCGCATTTGACACGCAATTATTGTAAGAAACGTTTAACGTTACATACAAAAGTTGAAAAAGTCGCGACGTGTTCTGTCGTTAAATTAATTTGAACGCTACGTACGAGGGCTATCACAAGGTACTAGACGAAATACCCGCAATGCATTTGCGATCATCTCTCTCTCTCGACATTATTGCTTTGACTGAGTCGAAAAAATCGTGACTTGTCTAACCCACGCCACACGCCGCACCTCTTCCTCGTTACACTTTGTTCGAGACGCTGTTTTGTACGTAAGCGGAGCTTTATTCGGCTAATATCGGTTACTTTAGAAAAATATGGAAACCACCGTGTGAAGCGTCCTCTTTGGAAAATCAACTTTGGATTTGAAGCTTGAAATTGACGCGAGAAGAAAGCGGTCCATAAATACTTGAACTCTGTCGTCCGTCCGGTCCGGATTCTAAAACGAACGTTCATTGTAACTCGTCGGACGGCATCGGTCCGAGGTCCTGTTCAGCCGATATCCCTACGGCACCTTCGGCGTCGGCCTCCGAACCGACAAGCGGCGCGACTTCCGGTTGCGTCGCTGGTTCCGTTGCTTGGAGCAGACCGATTCCTATGGGGTTTCCTCCGGCGTCCAATGCCGGGTCGGCAGTAGCTTCCGCGAGATTCGTCACGGATTTTGATTTCAGGCACTGGAAGTCGACGTGTCGACTTTTCGCTTCCTCCTTCTCCCAGGACATGTGAATGAAAGGCCTTTGAACGTAATTGTAGATCACCTCGGACCGTCCACCTGCTCTTGTCTTCACTTTCTCTTTGTAAGTGGGATAGCCTTCTATGCCCAGGCGAATCTTTTTCAGGCCTCGCTCCTTCATCACCTGCTTGGCCACCTCTCTGTTCTCGATGTATTTGAAAAACCGATACATCGCGGTACTGTTAACGGCTGTTGGAAAACAAAGAAATTACGTGTTATCAACCAACGGAGGACCGACGACTTCAGCGACCGCGCGAACGACTCTTTTAATTTAGGCTCCCCAGCGTCAGTTGTTCGAGGGTTAATAAAATGCTCGGGGAACGGAAAACCGATCTAATACGGTCGGCAGTACTACAAACAGTGCGGTCAATGCGATTATCGATTTTCTATTTTACGCTTTCAGCATACCGTATCAGGGTTGTATATTTTCAACCTTGACATCGTAAAAAAAAAAATGGAAGTAATAAAAATAAAGCCAGCGTTCTCGCACTTACTCTGCGAATATTCTTCTCCCATTTGCGGGGGATACTCTTCGTCCCAATCGACGATGTCATCCTCTAATAAAACGACGATGTGACATTCACGGTCGCCTCTGCGCGCACTGTTTACCATTAGGGGCAACATCAAGTCCTCGAGGAACACTTCGAATTGACAGCGCGCGCCTTCGTTAGATAACTCATGTAATAACCCTCCTATAATCAATTGTCTAGTTTCTAGAGCTCCTCTAATGTGAAGGAGGAGGCGGAGGAGGAGGAGGAGGAGGAGGGATTTAATGAGAAACTAGCGTAGTGTCGAATGTAACAAAAGGAAATGGAAACTTTACCCTTTCAGTTGATTAAACATCGTAATTTTTTACTTACTCAGATTCTGACATTTCACTGTGTTCGCGTCAAAAGGAACAAGAAAATAGTCGCACGCTTCCCGCAGTTCTTGAACCGGAACTGTCGGCGGGCAACGTATTATTCCACCCTTATAGTAATCAAGGATGGCCCTAAATACCATAGCAGATACACCGTCCGCAACTTCGTATTCGCCGCGTTCATTTGGTTGAGCATATTCAACGCCGGAACTGAACATTCTTCCTAACATTGTATTTGGATGTGCGGTGAACAATGCTCGGTCCACGATAAATCTGAATGTTAATGGAATATCGTGAGTCAATTAAATTCTGTTATTAAGAAGAGTTCGATGAAGAGAGCACTTACATTGTTTTATCCACGACAAGGGTAATGCGATCATCGCTGGCTGGTGGATTATTTATACCAATAACAGATCCCGACGATGGTAAATTATCCCTACATTGATTCTGTTGACTCTTTCCAACACCAACCCCAGTACAGAGTCTGAAGCAAAATGTAGTGTAAATAACCGCTCGATGATACTCAACGTTAAAGTCCACATGTAATAGAAAGAATTGCAGCTAATAAACACATGAAAGCAATGCATAGTGTTGATTGAATTTCTAAACAACACCTACCTCTCGGATAACGATGCTTGGACTTTTCTTCTGATTGTATAAAGTATCAAAAAAAATTATTTTATGAATTACTAATATGAAATGTGTATGTACCTTGTCGAAATGGTAACACAAAAACGTTCGTCCGCGATTATTACCTGTTCTGTTGATTAATATTTGCATTTTGCCTGGCAGAATTGAAGGAATGACAGTGCCTTTCATTGCTTCCATCTCTTTGAACCAGACAAGATTTTGGTTTGGAAGAGCCACCACAACTACATGCAAAACAACGACATTACCTTTCTAATGATTGCATTCGACAAGCATTGTGTAATATCTACAACTCTAATATGATGACTAATTTGAATTAAGAATTGTGTGTATGTACATGAAGTTTTGTTACAAAAACGATTACTTTAATTTTCTATTCACTTTCAAATTATTTAGATGAAGTACACATTTTTCGTATTTTCCCATGATAACATTATTCATTTCCCTTGGTAAACAAATTGAGCAAACAGACAACTAAAATTAGGTAATTCTGTGAAAAGCATATGCAGCACAATTAAAAAAAAATTGGACAGTGTAAAACAAAGTTCAGGAACTCATATTTAATAATCTAAAATGCTGGATGAATGTCGAGTAAATCATTCCTCGATATATTGACTTCTGACTAATCTAATATTTAAAGTATATGTGAGAAAAATTATTTTGTTCTTAATCAAAAAATTAATTAACATGCACGTAACATAGTGTATGACAACAGCCTTAAGTACATGCTACAATTTAAACATAGAATTACTGAAGTAGAAGTTCAAAAAGAATAATAAATTACAAATGAAATAATTGTGTTATTGTTCTTCTCAGATGTTTATCTCGTAGAGATAAAAACATAAACTATTAATATAATATATCCAAATGAAAGTTTCGCATTTCCTTTGCTTTGTTCTATACGGAAAAATATAGTTAGTAATATTTGTATATAGGAATCACTATACCTCATTCTATTTCTATAAATACAATGTCGACCTCTGTCATCAGTCTCTTTGTCTGTTTCTGCGTCACTACTGCTATCTTGTAAATAATTCAAGTAGTCAGCATGGTTCGACATCTTAGGCCAGCTGTAAAGATTCATTACAAAGTAAAAATATTTGACAGTTAACTAATTAAACATGGTACAATACGCTTCAAACATTAAATTGAAATTTCTTTTTACTTGTTTCAAAATAATTATCTAATTTCAATAAAATACAGTATATCCACTATTTTAATGGTAAATTAATAAATTGTGAATGTTCCTGTAAATATACATAATCATATTTAAATTACAAAAACAGAAAGAATTAAACAGAAATTTTAATTTGACACATGTTACGTAGTTGTTACACGTAAATAGTATACAAATTTTACCAAGCATTGTTGAATCTTTTATCACAGCAAGTTTGAAATATTAATAAATGATTTCTTCTTACACTTAAATACAGTTAGGTTCATTGGACTTTCAAATATTCAACTGACACTAAGATTATGCAATAAAAATTAAATTGAATATGCAGGAGTTTCCAGTACTTTAAAAACTACTGTTGCATTTTCTGACAATTGTTTTAACAAATAAAAAATACACGTAAGAAAGAAATGAAAAGACAAGCTCACAGAAAATGGTTAAAGTATTTTTATACGAAGAGATATATAATATTGTTGTGTAAGTCTTCAAATATACTTATCATGGTAAACAGTTTAGATGCAATATTGCAAAACGTTCTGTTATACACTTTCGTATTCTCTGTTTAAATGCTTATGCGTCATTCACATACACGATTCGAATACTCACAAGTTAGATATCGACAAGTAAAAACCGAGTTTCTTCAAAAACCAGCTAGTTGTCGAACAAATGTCCAAACCACAAGACTGAAAATTAACCTGAACTCTCCTTTTGACGGAAAGTTGCATTCCAAACCGATGAAACGGATAACGTGAAACACCACACGGTCATAGATGACAATTCCTTCTGACAGGTATTGCCCGACCTGCACATCGCATCAGTTCAGGACATTTGCTGCATCGTTGCTACAGGAATAAAATAAACTAGGTAATTGTTTATTAAAAATAATAATGTTGTAGCATATGAAAAGATTACAAAATGGTTTTATGAAGTTTGTATAAGTTGCTTGAAGATTGCTACATATTTAATCCAAGAAACATTTTGAAATGATGCGAGTTCGCGCCAAAATATTGGCTGTTTTCTTTAATAATTTCAGCGGAGATTCAAATCTAGTTTATATCTATTTAATGGTTTAAAAGCTGTAAATAAATAGTTTTAAACAATTATGAGATTCTTTTGATATGATTCATTAAACAGCGGATTGGGACTGTATAGATCTGTCATTGATATTGTAATTATAATGAAGAATAATAGTACCTGCAGTGGCGGTGACTGAATCACATTTTGTTTTGATATATTGTTGCCCTCTATTATATATTTATAAATATGATTCTAAAATGCGTCAGTGTAGCAACCTGTGCGGTTTGTTTTTTGTACACTTTTTACATTTTATGCAACTTGACGTATTTCTTGTCTAATCATAAAGAAAATGATGAAATCGAAGTTGCAGCAGAAAAAGGTAAACAATGATCATGCTTAGTTACAGCTTGTAACAAATGCATGTACTTCTAACAATGCACTTATTATTCTCTAGTACATCTTATTGAAAGTTTATCCAATAAATTCATATTACAGATGACTCTGTTGAATCGGTATTATGGTTATTAATTATAAATATGTCCTTGCTGAGTGTCTTCATGTTACAACATACTCTTATGGCTAGTGATTTTGTAAAACATTTATTTTGTAAAATGTATATGGATTATATAGAGAGAAGTATATACAATGTTAGCAGTGCCATGGCCTTACATTTACTGCTTGCTCAATGGCAAATTATTCCATCTATGTCACTATGGAAAATGAATACATCTTCTAATAATACGTTATGGTTCATATTTACTGGTATTCATGTTTTGGCTTGGTCAATAATTTATAGTGGATGTGTAATGATGGATATATCTGAGCTCACAGGAATAAAGCAGGTATATTATAAATTTTCATCCAGACCAAGTCCTATGTTGATGAAATCCAAAGAATTACTTCGTTATTATTCTCATATGAGGCATCCAAGTTTCACAGGCTTCCTCATTATCTTATGGATACATCCTTATATGACGTAAGACATGCTTAGAATATAATTAATATATTATAATACATGTATATTATAATGACATAATTCATTTTCTTCTTTTCCCTTTATAGAATAGACAGAATATTGTTAGCTACAATACTAACAATTTATATGGCCTTGATGTGGACCATTGACAAAGAAGATTACAATTATCATGCTAGTTTAGTGAGAAGAAAACAGCAAGAATTATTTTGATCTTTATTTACACAGTCCGCTTTATTGCCTCAGCCTTTGTGTTCATTATATTTAAGTTATATATGTATGTGTAATATAACGCCTTTTGTGCAGCTTTACTTTATAAAACACATGTTTAACATAAATATATATTTATATTGGTATGAAAATTATAGTCTAAATTGTATTACTTAAACTACAGAAAACTTAATCTATAATTTCAATTAAGAGAGCTGTCCCTTTTAAAATCCAGTATGCTTGTTCCTTTGCAGATGGAAGCAGAATTGCAACAACAAAATTTGTACTATGCCCCGTTGTAGATAATACTCCTGCACGTACTGCTGTTTTGTATAGGGGAGAAACATATCTTGGATCGTCTATTGGTAATTCTAATACTGGATTTATATGTAAAACTGGAAGAGTAGGATGCATTTCACCTAAAACATATACTTTGTACAATTTCTATTGCCCTAAGGTGCATTATTTTCGATACTAAACTTTATAAGATTGCAACATTACCTACGTTCGCGTCTACTAGTATCATAGATTCAAAATCCCATTTACCAGCATCAATGTAAAGTCCATGTATCAGTACACCATCCTCTGGCACTACCAAACCCTTATACACTTCCATCACCTGAAAGGTATCATTGCTTTGTTAAATTGATGAATATCTGGAAACACATTTCTACTGGTTCAACCTCTTGTCCAGATTTCCTGTGTTCCTCCTTAATCTCCTCTTGATCAAGAACAACTTTGGTAGGAATAAAATTCAACTTCAAATGGTCAATAGGCGTGTTGTATTTCCTTGCACACGTTTGCAGCATACCTGTCAAGAATCCTTGTGGAAACGATAAGCCAGAGATCCAAAAAGAGACAGGCTTTTGGTAAGTTAGCCAAATCTATCGATATCAAACAATTTACTAAATTACCCGATCATCATTTTCTTATTTTCAAAAGTTATACATACTTGAATGAAATCAATCCTCAATTCTAAGTTTTTTATCCAGCTCCCCAACGTTTTTAAGGATGGATACACGTTCGCATTGTGCCACATTTGCGGTACCTGATTATTGATAAGAGCGATGAAGACATTCTCTAATTCCTCTGACATTACCACGAAGCCTTTAATGGCTCGTTGCAGATTTTCAATTGACGTGGATATTCTCTTCAGCAGTATATTGTATCTGTCGACTTCGTGAAGGAGGACAGTGGTCAGAGACGGTAGTCTTCCCTTGGTATCTCTCTATAAAAATTCAACGGTTCTGTCTATTCAATAATTCGCCATTGCGTTAAACAATATATATATATATATATATATATTTTTTTTTTCTTACTATTAAGTGTTGCGAATTACACTTCGCAGGATCTATCTTCAATTGAATTCGAGCTAGAATCATATCCGCGATCTCGTACGCTATATCCGAACTCGATTTACCTTCCTCGGAAACAGATTCCTTCGGTTGCACCTCCAAAATGGTGTTGACAACGAACTGCGCTTCTTTCAACTGTAACCCAGGAAGCGATAGAACTCGCAAAATGAAATTCACCATTAAACATGCAAAACGTATTTGAAATTTTCCACGGTTCGGTTACTTGGTAAGTGATGTTCGCGTTTTCATGCATCTCGAAGACTTCGGGGTCATCGATCATGGGGAAATCCTCCACGAAATCTTTATATTCCTGCAGAGTCTTGAAGTCGGGACAGTAGTATTTCCCGGAGGGCGAGTAGATGTAATCTATAAGTATTCGATCGTTAGAATCAATGCATCAAAACAATACAGATTTCGTAGAAAATCATCATACTATCTTCCAGGGTTTTAGGGGAGAAGAATATGTCTAGGATGGTCTTCATGCACCTTAGGTCCCAGTTGTCCGTGACCCTGCCACCGTAAGTGATCTCACCTAAGACGAAAATATACTTACAACAACAGAAAATATAAAAATACAAAAATCTTATAAAATCAAACCTGTAGTGTAAATTAACGCGTTCCACGGTATGCGATTGTGTACGCAGAACAATTTCAGATTAAGCAGACAGCATTCTCTGTCGCTGTCGTTGAACTCGTAAAGAATATTCCATCCCAGAGGACCGAACTTCTTCCGTTCTTGGATAATCGCGTGGAAGAAACAGACGCCGAATATGATCTTCCGCCACTTCTCTTTTAAATCTGGCAGAAGAGAATGACATCAACGTTCCACTGCAAACACCGTTGAGATTCAAAATCCACGGTTCTATTTTCTTACGGTGGCGTTCAAAGAATTCTTCCTCTATATCGTGGAGTGCCCTCTTTACGTTGGCCTTCAGACCTTTCGGCGGCTCGTTAGTCACCTTCACCGAATTCTGAAGGACGGAAACCGGAAAGGCGACGCTCGGCATCGAGCTGAGGAACAGCCGGAAGTCCGGGTGGATCCGTCCCTCTTGTTCCTCGGCGATTTCCAGAATGATCTGCTCCATTTTGATCATCCAGGAGGTGGCTAAATGGCAATTCTGCAGGAACACCCATCTGCCCTCCACGGTGCCCTTCCGTATGTGTCCTTCGGCGACGGGGCCTTGACCTTGTCCCAGAGAAATGGAATTGTACCTGTCGGAGAAGTTCATCTCGGCTGCGAACCTCAGGAAACCGCTGAAAGGGTCGGATCCGGTCGTGAGAATGAAGACTAGCGGTATCTTGTTCGTCGTGTCAGCGAATCTGAAAGATTAAGAATACCAATGGAATAATTAGAAGACTCGATTCTTAATAATTATATATTCTTAATAATAATTTCAGTCTCGCATACAAGAGTGGCAACGCAGCGATCGGCGACTCCACGAATTTCTGCCCGAGGTTCTTCGCCACGTACGCCGTGATCGCGAAGATCAATTGATTCTCCTTCAAGGCCTTCACCAGCATCAGCTTCTCTATATCCGTCAACCGAAGGTCCCAGTCTCGAGTCGCCGTTCGCACGTTCTTCGGGACTACATTGATCACCTGGAAGTCCCGTTACAGTTGAAACGGCTGTGACCAAAGTCAACTCGAATTTAGTAGAGTAGTCACTTCGCGGAAGTATCCGACAGTCAGCGGGATCTTCTTGAATACATCATTGACGATGTGCTTGAAGCTCGGGAACGTGGCGGCTAAATAATTCACCGAGACCCACATTTGAGCCGTTAACGTCGGGATACTTGGCATGTCCGCCTGCTCGGACGAGTAGGTTATCGTGTAAACAAGACGGAAGCTTTTATGTTTCGCGCGATGCGGCTCCTTCCCTTTGAACGATGACTTACGACGCTGATTTGGCTGGCGCCGCGCAACATAAAAGTCCATTGTGGCTTCGAGACGACGTTCTCGTTTACGTGCACAGCGATGCTCAGCATAAAGCTGAAGACCAATTTGTGTTTCTCGAATAGACCACGCGACACGGTCGTGTAAATGGCCAACGTTATCTCGCCGAGCAACGTCCGCAGCCGACGACTCAGATTCTCGTCCTTCTCGGTTGACTCGATCACTAGATTGAATATCTGAAATGCAAGCGATCAGTGAAACTTCCTCACGGTGAAATTGTTAACCCTTTGCGGACGAATGTCGACATTTCGGCGAGATGAAACGTTCATGTTTGGAAAACTATGTCGCAAACAAATGATTTAATTGCTCGAATAGCAAGAGATTAACGTGTAGTTCCTGTTATTGCTATTATTTAAGCAATTAATATGTAATTTAGCTTCGTCTGTTGAAGGTTTTGTACATTTCAAAGAATCTTCGTCCGCAAGGGTTTAACACGTTGAATACCATGGGGGTCACCGGTGACCCCAACCAAAGCGATCGTTCGACTGACCTGATTGAAGTATTTCAACGAGAACTGGTACATGGGATCTATGTCCGCGAGATTGGCTACGACGAAGTACAACACGGAGCCACGATTCGCTACCAATCGGTATTTTTCACGCGCCTCGGAGATCTTCTCTTCGGTGGCTTCGCTTTCGATCAGCCTCGTCGCGATGATCGCGGAGGTTTCCTTGCTGTCGTTCAGGGTCTCGATTAGATCTTCGTTGTCCAAAATGTCGTCGCCGGAACTGTACAGCAGCGTCAGTATTCTGTCCTCGATGCTCTGCAGTTGGCCCTTGTCGGTATTGATCTTCATTATCAAATCGTTCCTCATCGACTCGAGGTCTGGCCTCTCGAGACGCACAACGTCTCTGTACAAGATACATTCTGATGTGGTACCTTTCAGAATTCAATGCGGTTTAGTCGATCAAATTGAACTGATTTTAAAAACCAATGTATTAACCCTTTGTTAACACAGTAAAATTCCAAAGTCTGATATTCAGTATTAAAATCCATTTAACGTAATTATCCATGACACGTGAAAACAGAATACTTCTATCCCTTAATTTATATTATGTATATCAATATTAACTATAAAACATATCATTGATATTTCATTAGAAAATCAGGAATACAGCGGAACAATCCTCGAGTGCAAAGAGTTAAAGAACATTGATCATTTTTGTTTCCTGGACTTAGCCGCATTGAATTCTCTCATATAGACAGGACAATCGCAAAGAACGGAGTCTGTTCATAAAAAATGCCGAATACTGATTTAATTACGCTAGTAGCTGGTCTTCGAGGCCACCCATGGTCACGGTGAAATTAACTATCGTCACTTTGATACAGACTTCCGGCAAGTAATGAGGATTGGCGATTTTCGTCGTGATGTACAGTCGGAAATTCTCGTCGTAGTCGACGTCCGTGTCGCCGAATCGTATTAGCAGCCTGCCTCCCTGAATTGGATTCACATTACTTGTAATTCAATCCTTCATTTAGCTCGATGCTTGTCTGCGAGTCTAAAGTGAGCGAAGTACCAGCAGGAAAATCTGTTTGAGCAGCACAGGTTCCAAACTAGGATCCAACACCTCTCCCACTTCTTGGAGCAGCACAGGTATCCCTAATCTGATGGAAGTTTCCAGTATCCTCATGAAATTCGCGTCTGTCAGCTTGCAGATCTTCAGGTCGTTCTCTTGCTCCATGTTGCGTATCCACCTGTTCGCCTGCGAGGATTTCCAGGATATTTTCAAAGGAAACGCTGGAAGATGGAAACGCGTGGTATCACCTGCTCTTGAGGATCGATCATCAGGGGCCAACGAATCGATTGCGTGACGAATATTGCGTTCTCCGTGCTGACTTTGTCTCTTGGTAACCCGTGTGTGTTCCACAGGCGGATCTTATAGGGATCAGCTAATATCGAAACGAGACTGTAGCTCTCTGTGGTCTTCACGCCATGGTCTTTGCAGTTATTCAGCCAGATCCGCATCAGTTCTTCCCTGTACTCGTTCGTGAACGCGCCGAGATAAGCGAGAGCTCCGGCAGCAACCAGCGTGTCGCCCGTCAGATTCATTATTTGATTGTCGAACCCCTAAAAATTCGAACGCAGGTGAATTTTTAGGATTTCCTTTGAATATTCTCTGCAAACTTGGGGAAGTTTCGTGGCCATACGCGTGTCATTTCTTCCCATCGTATCCGTTCGTCCACCAACGCGGACGTCAGCCGACCTGATCTGTTCAGTCTCGCTTCCGCCAGCATCATTTCAGCTTCCAATTCGTTCAGATTCTTCAGAGCGGAATCGTACTCCTCCTGTAACTGCGCGATCTTGTCCTCCAACGCGGCGAGCTGCGCCTGCTTCAACGCGAGAACCTCTTCGATCGCCTGCAATTCAGCTTCCGCCTCGTGCAATCTGTAGGGAATTTTTTAACGACTCGTAAAGTACAGAGTGTTTTTGATTCTTTAACACTGGGTTCACGGAACGCGTCGAATTGACGAGTATTGGATCTTAGAAATATTATTAATATAGTGTTAAAAGGAACACTCGTAGTCCTACGTAATTTTATATTCTTTAGAAAAATGCCTGTCACTTTGTTGCATCAATTTCTTTAATTTCTTAGAGAAACGTCTGTTATCTTTTTAATAATAGCAAAAGGAAGAAATCAGGAATGGGTGATTTTCACTGATCCGCTAGTTTTCAGTGTTAAATAGCAGATGTTCAGGATGTTCAGCTACAGACTGGAGAATTCTATGGTTTCAGAATGAAATGATTAGAATCAAGAGATGAACGATTGAGAGATAAACCGGGTGATATTTCACGGAGACTTTCGTTCACCTCTGGCGTTTCGGCTCGACGACTCTGTATATCTTCGCGTAGCCGTCCATCGCTCTCACCCAGATGCACATCGATTTGCACGCTTTGCTCTGCTTGGCAACGAGATCCGCGCGGAACTCCGGGTGCGTCACGTATTCTTGCAGCCTGCTTAGAAGTTTGTCGCTGATCTCGTCCTTAGGGTACGCGATTAATCGGTCGAGGAAATGTATGTCACCCAGAACCAGCTTGGCCGACGGCCAATCCGTCCTGCGGATCGTTTTCGTTCGTTAGTAACGTGGAAGTGCCAGATTGACGACACGGTCAAACGCACTTTTCGCCTAGCAGCAGATTAACGGCTTCCATGACGAACCGGACCAAATGGGGCGGCTTGTTGAACACGCGGATCTCGTTGATGTCGTTCTTGTTCAAGGCTTCCAACGCCTTCTGAGCCTCCAGCAGGGCTGGAATCGCTGCTTCCAAGTCTTGCCTGGCGTCCGCTTCTAAGATCGCCGTTTCTTCAGCTTTCAGCTGATAAAAGGAGGTAAATTACAAAGGTACCAGGAACTACGAACTAGTACGATGAAATTAATCGTACCTTGGCTGTAGCTTCTTCAGCGGTCACCACGTATTTAGCTTTGTCGCATTCGGCTTGCTGCTTGGCGAGCATCTTCACCAGCTTCGACACTTCGTCCGTGCTTGTCTTCAACTTCGGAGCGAGGATCACTAAATGCTCCTTCATCACAGCCACCATCTCGTTGGTCTCCAGAAGTTTCTGTTCGGACGAGCGTATCGTTCAGTCGTCGTAATTAACACGTTGAATGTCGCACGATTGCACGAGGAAAATACACGAAACGGAAAGAATTAACCCTTTGCATTCGGAACAAAGCTTTATTCCAATGTCTCACGTATCGAGGTATTCAAAGTTTAACATTAAATATCACGTTCTATTTTACTGTGTCGAATCAAGTGGCGACTGAGTCACCTCTCGAGTGCAAAGGGTTAAATCGGTCGAGTGGCATTAGTATATTCATCGAGCTGAATGTAATCGCATTAGCTAGCATCATTTGTAATATAGAAATGTTTCTAGATAATTATCGTTGAGTCGAAGTGATTACAGTAATTCGGTTTGGTCGGGGGTCACCGGTGACCCCGGTTCATTTCTATTCGAGGGACCGCTTACGTTTAGACCGTTCGCGATTTTACTCTTCAAGGTCTCTATCTCTTTCCTCTTGTTCTCCAACGTGATTCGGAACAATTTTAGCAGCTCCAGGTAACTGCTAGGCGTAGTGTAATACCGGCGGCGCATTTCCACGAAGAATCGAACCGTCACCTCTTCCACGGTCTGTAATCGTATGCGTTTCCGGTATCGTTCGACGCAGTGGGAGATTATTTGTGATCGATCTCGTACCTTGTGGATCGACACGCAAATCGAACTGAGACCGGAAAGCAACTCGGGATTTCCCGGCACGATCGCTGATAATGTGTTCTCCGCTACCGAGAGCAGGGCGTCGTTCGGCCATTCCGTGAACCAATCGATCGTGCAACAGTTCACCAGTGAAGGGAACATGCGACACCGGTGCCTATGAAAACAAATGTCGCAGATGTTGAATTCGAAGCGAATTTCTCGAAGAATCTATTAACACGTTGAACGCTGCACGATTTTATAGAGCAAAATACACAAAATGGACAAAATATAATATTCAATCGTTCAATTGAATCGCGTTACTATTGTTACATGTTCGTTAACCCCTTGCCCTACAATATCGTGTCAGACTCGTGGTAGACATTCTAAACAGAATTTAACAAACATAAATATTATTCAATCTGTTTGAAGGCAAATTGCGTGTGACATGACATTCAACGCGTTAAATACATACCGAAATGCATCGCCTATGGGACTCATGCAGATCATCAGATGAAGCTGATTTCTGACCCTCCCGATGAAGAACTGATAAATTCCGTCCCTGTTCGACTCGCTGATCCCCGCTTCCTTCGCGGCGGGTCTAGTAGCTATGATAGCTTTCTCTAATTCGTCCGCTTCGTACAGGTTCGGCACCTCGCCTTAAAAATATTACAAAACCACAGATCAATCGGGATTCCAACGAATGGACCCAACAATTCGTACAAGAAAACTATGTATATAAAACTATATAAAACTGTATAAAACAATGTAAAAGGGTGAAATACAATATAAAACAATATAAGTTGCTGGGCAACTCGATTGCTCAGTTCTAGTTGGAATCATTGCAACAGCAAATTCACCGGTGTTCAAAGTATTATTGATGTCCTCCAAGAAATCTTCCATCACCATTTGAGTATCCGTGAATAGAAACGTCGCGTGCCTCGCGAGCGCGCCCGGCTCGAAGTAAAATCGCCGCAGGTCCTCGTGCCAGGCGGCTTTGTCGTACGTCCGTGTGACTTCGATCTGATAGCACCTTGAAACACGCGTAAATTTCGTGATTCGCTCGGCGCCGTCCGATCTCTACAGCATCGACGACACGAACTTGTAGCCGTTCAAATGCGACGCGAGTTTCGTCAGACTCTGCTTTCCCATTCCTCCGACGCCGACGAGAAGTCCGTTGCCTCTTTCCGACCGGAGGATCCGAGCGAGCCTGCAGACGTGTTCAATGGCGTCCATGAAGAAGATTATTCCCATGTCCTTGCCAACGGAGAACCGATAGTCTTCCAAGTAGTCCTACGACAAACGCGTATATTTCGGCGAACAACGAAGCAGATTGCTCGGGAAAGAGATATCTCTGCGATAAACACCTCCAAAGTTCTCTTAACTTTCGGTATCTCCGTGAGTTCCTCGTAGATCCTCTGATCTCTGGCTGCTCCGAACGCCATGAAATCACCGAACAACAGCGATGGTGGTTTCTCGACGATCTTCTCGTCGGGTAGCCTCACCACCTCGACGCCGAACGATCCGGTGCAGATGTTGTTCAGGAGTCGGTAGAAGTAACTCTTGTCCTCCACGTTGATCAGGCGGTCGTGGAAGACTCGAAGACATTCGTGGTAGAAGAGTCTTTAACACGTTCCGTGCCACGGAAATTTCGGTTATACTTTGATTATCGACTGTGTTAAATGTTTTAATAAAATATTAACTTATATTCAAGTGCCTGGTAACTTCGATGTAATTCAATATTCCATCAGTGACCGTGTGTCCCTTAACACTAAAACTACCGAGCACTTCAATTGACTTGAAAATTTCGCTATAGAAACTCCAAGAGTGCATCTGTTCAGACTTTAATTGATTTGCAATTCAATTTGCGTAGTGCTAAATGGATTTCTTTAATAATTTCTGAAGGAAACATTTGTTATCTTTCTAATAATTGCAAATAGAAGACATCAGGCATGTCAAAAATGTTTTCTTACAGAAATTGGCGTGTGCCATACATGATGCAATTTTGTTTATTCGATAATTCGATTAATAATGCAAGATGTTACGCGGATACCTATACATTTCTTGAGGTTGCTTGATGACCGTCGCTCGGACTTGCATGATGCCCTGAATACATTTCGACAGGTCCCGCAGGTTGAAGATGTAGTGACTCTTCTCCGGAGTGGGCAACAGGTCCTCGGCGATTCTTCGATACACGTCCACCGCAGCGTTCACTATTTTATCACCGACCAGCTTCACCGACTCCACGAAATCATTCAGGAAGCCGTTCATTATCGCCCTGGGGAACTCGTCTCGTCTTGGTTCCATTTCTCGAGGGATGATTTTTCAACGACCTACTTGAAAATTCCTTTCAGTGTCCATTCGGAGGGTGCCGGGATCAGTAGCATCGCGAAGTGTCGCACGAATCTCGGAGTTAGCGGGTTCCTTCCGCCTCCGGGAGGAGCGCAAGCCACGGTGAAGACAACGTCCTCCACGTATTTCCAGAACAGTTTATCTCTATCGTACATTCCGTCGAAGTCCAGCAGCTGCCTGTGTGGTTGGATAGCAGCAAGCTTATACTTAACATTGGGACTACCAAGTTATTAGGTTGATTCATTTGTAAGTTCTCATGGAAAATATGAGAATATGTTTTGTAAGATTTGAAAGCAAGCTTATATTTAATACTGGGACTACTAAGTAATTAGGTTGATTCATTTATAACTTCTCATGGAAAATATGAGAATTTTTTTTAAGATTTGAAAGCAAGCTTGTATTTGACACTGGGACTACCAAGCAATTAAGGTGGTTCATTTATAACTTCTCTTGGAAAATATGAGAATATTTTGTAAGATTTGAAAGCAAGCTTATATTTAATACTGGGACTTCTAAGTAATTAGGTTGATTCATTTATAACTTCTCATGGAAAATATGAGAATATGTTCTTTTAAGGTTTGAAAGTTAATTCTGTTATTCTATTCACAAAGGTATGTAATACCGCAGAAGCTCGATAGGCGGTTGGGATCCATAAGTGTCCAGTTTAGGCATATTAACGTCATCCACGAAGACGCAGATTCGTTTTCCGATTGGAGCCCCTAAAACGGTTCTCTTCCTCCTCTCCAGCTTCGATTCAAGAATCTCTTGAGTTCTGCCGCTGCTCGTTTGAGCTGAGAAGGCCAAAGTGATTGGTACCCAAAGCTGAGTGTCCTCCAAGCTTTTCAACACCACTTTCGTGATTATCGATTTCCCAACTCCTGCAATCGACGGTGAGTGTTTTAAGCTCTGATAGAATCATTTCTACGCTACGAGAAGAGGAATTTGCGGTTAATAAACATTGCAAACCAGTGTCTCCAGTAAAGAACACTGGTTTGTTTATCTCCACCATCTTCTGCATCATGAAACCGAACCGCACGGTGTCCACTGTCGGGACGAGAATGTCGAAGAAGGGCGTTCCTGGGTCGTACACGAATTCTGGCATGATGTCCGTCCAAATATCCAATCGGTGAGCCGGAACGTTCATGTAAAGATCCCACAAATCGACCGATGGCAAGCTAGAACCAACAAGTTGAATTTTATATATTCATTGTGCGTCGAAACGGTGGGAGATATTTCAATGTCAATTTTACAATGCGTCCTCATTATCCTCGAACTGTTTTCTAACGAAAGCTTCGAAGTCGACCCGAGATGCGTCAATGACGTTACCGCCGACCGACCAAAGATAAGCGAACGCGAACATCTGAGTGATGAACATTCTGATTTTCGTCTTGTCAGCGGTTCTCTCGATGGCTCCCGGCTCCCTCAGAAGACTTTCCATTATCGCGCAAGTCATATTTGCCTTGCTAATGTCAACCTATAAGTGACAGCGTCAATTGACCCGATTTTCTGTTACACACTTCAAATTAACGCTAGTTCAGTTACTTAACACGTTGAATGCTGTACGATTTCATAGAGCAAAATACAAGAAATGAAAAAACATGATATTAAATCATTCGATTGAATTGCACTGTTATCGTTGCACGTTCCTCTGCCGAATATAGAAATGTTTGTTTGGGTCACCGGTGACCCCCACGGCATTGAACGTGTTGATACAGGCTTCGTCGTTTCGCTGTTCCATCTGGATTCCAAAGTTGAAGTGATCACCTGGGAAATCGGGAACTCGCAGTTCGTTCTGCAGAAGATCAGTCCCTCTTCGAAGTACTTTTGGAAGAGATCGACGATCAACTGCCGGTGATCGTCTTTAAGAAGCGCTTCCGGAAGAGTTGTCAGCCAGGTCTTCACGTACGGCATCCATTTCAGTTCCGCAGGGTCCACGTAGACCATTCCTTTAAAAACAGTTCAATTAGACTGTAGAATCCAGTTATAAAATTATTTGTATACAATTATATAAATCATAAAATGAATATATAAGAGATCTATTAATAAATTTCGCTTGAAGGTAGCTTTTGTACCGCATCGACTGACGGTTGCCGGTGATGCTTGTGCAAGGTCCATCACCTCGAAGAGCATGCGCATGTACGGAGTGAATTTAATCCTCTCAGAGTTCGCTAGGCACAGCATTTTGTTGTCATCCAAGACGGTGTTCATGTTCTCGATCCAGACAGCGTCGACAGGTCCGTCGCACACGATCCACTGATGATCTTCCGTGATTAACTAGCCATTCGAACGGTTGGACGTGTAATATTCGTAGGATCATTATTCATTAGTATCTCATGCCACTACTAACTGAACAGGCATGGCGAACAGTGAACCCTATGAGTCCGTCGTGCCACTCGTTGGTCATCATGTCCACTTGTCCATACAGTTCACCGATAGTGATCGCCTTTGGATTGATCACGTACATGTGAACAGGCTGATAGGTCGGCCCGGGTGCACCCATCTCGTGGAGTTTATTATACGTGTTCGCGAGGGTCTACACTTGTGAAAGCAGTAATTAATGTTCCTCGAAAATCAGGCAATGCTTTTAACACGTCAAGCGCCATGTCAGTCACTGCTGACTGACGCTTCCGAATGACTAAAAAACAATCGTAACACACAAGACAACCGATGTGAAAGAAAAATGCTTAATAAAGCAATTAAGTTGATAATAGTGTAACGCAAAAGATTTTCGTGGCGCTTAACGTGTTAAACATTGAAACTCACTCGAAGAACCGTGGTTTTCCCAGAGCCAGTCGGTCCGACCAGCATCACTCCGTGCCTCACCTGCAGGCACTCGTGCAACTGAATGGCCTTCTTCAGGGTGCAATTCTCCGGCTGTAAGTTAGCCTCTTCGAGTACCTGTGGAAGTAACGCGGTATCGGTAGGGGATCAACGGAAACAGCGGGGATAAAACGTTGATACCTTGACGGCGGTCTCTTGTAAAACACCGTAATCTTCTTCGGGTATTACGATGCCTGGGAACAAGTCTCCCACGATGCCCTCGAACAGTTCAGCGTCGTCGCGCAAGAACTTCGGTATGTTGCTCTCGCGTAGAGCTCGGATCAGAACGACGTCTTCCGGTTTGTCGGGATTGTTCCGTTTGAGGCTGCCCGCCATCACCAGCACGCTCTTCACCGCCCTTCGACACGTAGGAAACGTTCGGGGACAGGCTCGGTACACGTTGAAACGTGCGAGCGTCGCCGCAAGTTTCAACGTGCACGAGTGCCTTCACGAGAAACCTCATTCCGAAGTCGTAATGATCCTGCTGGGAGAGCTGCTCGCTGCTGAGCGTGTACATCAGAGTCATCTTCTGCGACAGAGGCTTCGACGACTCGAATCCCTCGGAGTATAAAGTGACTTCGGCTATGAGTTCTGCGGAGAGAAGCTACTTCATTAAGCCTGTAACCGAAAGACAACGAAAGAAACCTGCTCGAAGGGAGTAGAGTCGTACTGTAATCGGGAACCATCATGGAGAACGGCCGGAACAAGGCTTTCAGGTTGTCCGGTAACTCCGTGCGACCCGCGTAACCGGGGTTCATGGTGATGAACGTGGCGCAGGACATCACGAGCTTCATCATTCGACCCTCGAACATGAACCTGAGCAGTGGGAGTGCGAATTAAACGAGAATTCGTAAGGTGATCGTTAGTTGCAGGTCGTGGCGAGGTACTCTTTAGCTCTGGCGAGTTTCGCGTTCCTAATAGTGATCAGTTGTTGAGCGATCACGGATAGAACTTCGATGTCTATTCTGTTGAACTCGTCGAAGCAACACCAGGCACCGGAAGTGGCCAGTCCAGAGAAGAACCTGCCCATCATCTGCAAGGGAGGATGATAGTCTAACATTTTAAATGGATAGAGTCTCCATTGGTAGAGTCTCTGTTGTCGGTTACCGAACCTGTCGACTGGACAAGTTGGTCGCTATTCCGACGCATTAACATACCCTATAATCGAGCCCTTCCGAGCAATTGAACACGACACACTGAATGGCGACTGCCTTAGCTAGATCCTTCGTGGTCTCTGTTTTCCCGGTCCCAGCTGGGCCGGCTGGCGCACCTCCTATCGAATAACTCATTATCGCGTGGATCTTGAGACTTATCATTACTTTCATGTCGACTGCCTTTTACCGAGGTCCAACTGAAGCGCTCCCATGAGACACAAATAGCACCTGTCGGTTAGGGGAGTTATAACCAGTCTTTTCTGAGCGCCGAGGTACTCGTATCCGTAAAGATACTCGGCGTTGCTCATGCGTGCCACGCAATTGTCAATTTCCGCGTCCCAGTAATAGCGCAGTGCCTTCGTCCATTCAAAATCCGTACTGTAGTTAATTAATTACGACGTTACAATTAATTAAGTTACAAAGTTAACGTCATTGACCACGATACAGGTGAACAGAGTGGATCGAAACGAAAGAATCATCCGCATAATTCCTTCATCGTTGTCCAAAACGTAGTTTCGTCTCTTAAATCGCCTCACCTCGACGACACGCCGTGTTCGACCATGCTAGTGACGATATCTCTGGCGTGAACGTCCACCGTTATCAAATTAATTATGACGTCGCGTATCAATTTCGGTAAATCTCCTCTGACCATCACAGCTAACTCGTTCAAGTCCTATAAATCAAGAGAGAAGGTCGTTCTACTGGGATCGCCGGGGATGTCGTAAAAGTTTCGAAGCCAATAAAGTTCTACTGAACCGCGAAACACTGTTGCTCGAACGCTTTCATCGCCTCGAGCACATGGCCCTCGGATTCCAAGATCAGATGAATTCTACGGGTCCAAAAGATTTGGGACACGGTCAGGACTATCTGGAAAGGACAGAATCGAGGTAATGATTATAATGCAATCAACAGTTTCTAAGAACGTTGACTGAACATTGGTTTATTCATTGAAAAAATCATGATCGATGGATGAATCGCTATGGAAACACGTATAACCTGCGATGGATGCATATACAGGAATTGCTGTCGCCCTTTGGCGTCTAAATCCTTGATCCCCTGCTTCATTCTTCTCCTCAGAGTCGTGAACATCGCGTCCTCCACTCTGCCCAGCCAATCCTCGACGTTGCCTCTGGCCTTCAGACCTTGCCCTAGGGGAACCCTTTCACCTTCCGGTGAAATCATTGCCACTATATCGGTAGTCAAGATCAGCTCTTCGCCAGTTTCGCTTTCCTTCGTCCCGAATTCCAATCTGTGTATCGCGTCGAAGCATTTCTGCAAGTGTCTCTGAACAGCGTGTGGATTCTTCGTCTGTTTCGGAACAATCGGTTAGTCGGTTGACCCACAGCTGCGCGTAACTCCGGTTACCGAAAGGAAAGCTTCAAATTTTTAAGTTCTTTCGGTTGATCGATACCTGAGCTAGGATCTCTAGAAGCTCGTCATTCGACAAGAAGAAGAACCGCGGGAATGCTACCCGTTTCGTCTCGAGATACGCTAACAAACACTTCATCACTTCGTCCAGCCTCCTGTTGTTCTCCTCCAGTAGTTCCAGCAAGCCTGGTTGAGTGCAAGCCGCCATTGCCAAGGGATTCTGAAAATCGTTTGAACCTAATTACTACTTGTCGACTTGTAACTATCAACAGGTATTCAACACTTGAAATGTTATAAATCTCATGATATTAGACAAGTTGTTCGTGTTCTTTAATATTCCTTCTGCCCAGAATCGATGTACCTTGAACGTCCGCCTCATGAGATCCTTCCAAAACTTGTCGACCACGATGAACAATTTTGCTTCCATCGGTAGCTGCCTCTGAATGTCCGGCGCTGAGAAGATTGCCTCCAGATACATCCACTGCTGCTGCAAGTACTGCCAGGCTTCCTGAGAGACGCAACTCACGGATCAGTCCGAGACTTTCACGATCGATGTTCGTTGAAAAGAAATTCGTACCAGAGTAACGATGAACAGATCGAGCTTCTGAACCCATTCGTCGACCAAAGGTTGAATGGGTCCAACGCGGCGGGATGCTTTGATGGTCTGCAGATTGATGTTGCTTTCGTTCATCGCCGTTTCAGCCTCCTCCAGGCTGCCCAGGACGAAAACGTCTTTCTCCTCTTTGTGAGGCAGCACGACGAACTTCAGTTGCTCCCACATATCCACGACCTTCCTCAGCATATTCTCCAGATTGGCCTCGGAGCTCGCCGTGGCAGCAACTTCCATCAATTCGTTGGGTTTCTGGAAAGCACCGAGCAGTTCCATCTGGTTCCAGGTCTTCTTCTCGTCGGGCTTGAACGTGTAGTTCAATATCTCCTCGATCTTCTCCCAGTGTCTGTCTCTTAAGTCAGGATTCCTCAGGTATCCGAGGATCGGCAATTTGTTCCTTATCGATTCCACGGTTTCCTTCAAGCCGGGAACGATATTGTTCGCCGGCAAGCCTCTCTCCAACTGGATCAGATTCTTCATTGTGCGCATCGTGAAGGAAGTGATGTCTTCGACGTCCAAGGTATCGAAGTCGGTTGTCTGCCACTCGTAGACTTCGTGCTCCCACTCGGTCAGCGTCTCCCATAATAAAGTTCGCAGTCTCAGCTCGTTGGTCACTTGGTCCAGAACGTCGAATCTCGTTTGCTCGAGCTGTAACGATAAGAGAGCGGGTCTACCTTCGACACTAAAACTACCAAATTTTTCAAGATCCTTTGTAGGATCTGTAACCGTACGTTTATTAAGATTTCAAGTGACTTATACTTCAGTTTACCGAGTTAGCTTCTTCAATAGCTTCACAAGAAACTATCTGTGCCCCTTCGGTAATTGTAAAAGAAGAAATGGTAGTTCTAGTGTTAAATAAAGCATTTCATTAAAGTGGTACCTTAAAGGCTCTCTGATGAGCATGGTATTCCTCGGCAGTTGCCGCGCAGCCAGCTAACCGATTGCCGAGCTCCTTCAGGGTACTCAGACAAGCCTCGTCGTCGCTTTCGTAATCCAATAGCCAGGGTTGCTATAAAAACGAATCGAGCGGTCAGCGCGAATGAGGACAATCCTAGAAATCTGCTGTTTTACCGTGATCTCGTCACGAATCTCGGATATCTTCTCGTTCAACGCTGTGATGTCTTTCTGCAGTTGAGAGTTGAATTTGTTTATCAGCTTCGGTCGTTCCTCCAGCACGTTCTCCATCACCAAACGCAAACTGGTGAAGTGTGCGCCGATGCCCTGATCGTTGAACACCGGCTCGTTCAAATAATACGTCGATGTGATACAATCGTTACTAACTCATCCGCGATCGTTACCAAGTAATTAGCCATATCCACCGACGGTATCGGGAAACCGAACTCCTCCATCAAATCGTACAGTTCTTTCACGTAGTCCAACTGTGCCTCCATCTCGTCCACGCTTTCTCGAGCTTGATCGACGAACTTTATGTACGCGACGTATTCTTCCGTGGTGACGGGGTCGGATTCGAGGTAATTAATGGACTCGATGGCTTTAGTTAACAGAGAGTCGACTCTGGTCTTTCCCAGCCTGGCGAAACACGATCGTTACACACGAGAATGAAGGAAATTAACCCTCCGCGGACGAACGCCGACATTCCGGCGAGATCGGACGTTCATATTTCGAAGACTAAGTCGCGAACGAATGATTTAATCGGTGAAACAGTAAGAGATCAGCACGTAGTTACCTGTTCTCCTATTAATCAAGCAATCGATATACAACTTAACTACATCTGCCGATTTTCTACATTTCAAAGAATCTTCTTCCGCAAAGGGTTAGTGGAGGAATCGAGAGAAGGAAGAAATAAAGAAGAAACCGCTGTAATTTGTATAGATATTTCTATACAGAACACGGAGATTGATCAATTTGTCTGCTCGGCAATCTTAGCGTTAGCTGAGAGATCGATCGTGTTCCGCGCGCACGATAAACGAGTTTTAAGAGAGGTCTACGGTTAAAGACACCTACCCAGGCATTACTGCTTCGAGAACCCCTATCTTCCCCCTGGGAGCGATTTCCGCGGCAATCTTAAATCGCTCGAGTTGAACGAGGAAAACGCCCAGCGACTGATACTCGATAACTTTGCCGATCAGCTCCAGCTCCCGCTTGTACCGGATGCTCCATTCACGGAATACTTTGCAGTCCCGGTTGTCGCGAATAATGTTCTCGTCGAATCTCGTGTCCTCCAGATAGAATCCACGGATCTCGTTGAAGCGGCGACAGTAACGTTTCACAATGTCGAAATTCCGTTCCCAAGTCTCGTTCAGTTGTTGCTTCAACGCGTGCGTGATCGGGTCCTGCTTCAGGACGTCGTGCATGTCCGGAGGTAGGCCGGAAATGCGCTCTTCTATTTTGTGATTGATCATTGGCCTCCAATGAACGTGTACAAGAGGGTGTAGCTTCGAGAGATTGTCTTTCATCGATTGCGTCGAAGGGAAATGTAGAGCTTGTACGATACCTGGTGAACGAATTGAAGAACGGATCGGAGAGCAGCGGTTTAATGGCGAATACGTTCTCCTCCCACATGATTTGGATCGTTTGTATCACGAAGCGGAAGATCTTCTCGGAGGGATCCATCACGATCTCCGAAGATGGCAGAATTAGCAGATCCACCACGTAATACGGCCACTGTGGAAGATATCATTTAAGAGATGCACCTCGTCGCGAGGTAATTATTTTCTGTTTCGAAAATAAAACTTCAGACGTTACGAGACGAACCTGAAGACGGTACATCGAAGAGGGAATTCCTTTCAGCGGAAGGTCGATTACATCGTTGTCTATCATCTCCTCGCTCGGTAAAAATTCCATGTGAGCTTGCAGGACTTTTATAAACTCCACGTAAGTATTTATCAGAAGCCCGTGCATCATGTTCGCTTGCATGTAATCGATCAAGTGAATGAAACTAAAAATTTTCATCTCCTTTAATCGTTACGCTTAAATCGTTTAAACGAACTCCTAAGTAAACCAGTCTCGTCGACGACGAATACGCACCATGACAGCCTGTAACATTTCTCCCTTTTCCTCGCCTGCTCGATGTAACTCATCTTGAGGACACCGTCTTTCGGCATCTTGAACTTGACACCGCTAAATTCACCTACGTAGGAAGAATCATTAACAGTTATTCAACAGATTGTGCTGCAAATTGGAAATAATTACCTAACTTCCCAAAAGCAGTTTGTTCGATCGTTATATTAGAGTCGTCTGGTGTGTATCCAGCCTTCAACAGCGCGCCTAAGCAGGCGTTGTTAACGATATCTTTCGTCAGTACCCTGAATTCGTCCAGTCTTCGTCTCGTCTGCTCCAGTTTCGCGAACTGTAAAGGATCATCGAAATAACACGTTCGTCACGTAAATTGACGCGATTGTTACCTGCTTCTCCACGAAATAAAATAGTAGCAGCTTCTCCGTGGTGCTGTTGTCGAAGAAGCTTGAATCCAGGAAGACGGAGCACATCGATTTAATTTCCAGCAAGGCCTTGCTGAGGATCGGGTCCGATATAAAGAGATTCGTCTCTAAATAATTCCTCGCTTCCAGAAACTTCCTGCGGGAGACCGATTTCCTCCAGACGAAGAACGCCTTCCACTTCCGGAATACCACGAACGATCTGATCTACAATCGCAGACACGTGAACGTCGATTCTACTGAAAAACGTGCGACAATGTCGTACCTTTAGCAGCTTGAAATAAAAATTGTATTCTCTCTCCCACTGTTCGATAGGGGTGAAGCTGACTTCGTCCGGCGAATACTGCGTTACACCATTGGCGCTGATCGTCATGTAAGTTCTCCCCACGTCCTTGTAATGCACCAGTCTGAGGACAACACATTTCTGTGTTTACTCGTGTCGAGGGTACAGTAAAGAATATGAAAATTTCAAGAATGCTGTTCACTTGAGCGCGTATGGGGTGAAGTACTTAGAGGACCGTTCCACCGCGTAGATCATATAAAAGAATCCAATTTTAGGATCATCTCGTAGCTGCTGGATCAGCTCCAGCTGGTCAACCAACGGCGGCGCATCGAGGTCCTTCTTTTTCTGCTGTTTAATAGCGATTTGCAATCTTTCCCACGGTGGAATTTTTTCTTCGAAAACGGAACAGACGGGGTAAGCATTATCATAAACCGAAGGAAAATTATCGAGAAGTTTTTCATCGGTGATGTTATAGAATTATCAAGGATTAAGGATATTACTCGTAAGTTTCTTTCTTCGATCAGCAGCAACCTCGACCGACAAAATCTCGTCCTCGGTTCTCGCGCGCGGAATATACGGTTTGCAGACGTCTCTTCTAATCTTTCCTTGCTGCTCGCTAAATCCGGTCTGAGAAAGCAATTTTCTTTAGACCCTGCCGGGATCAAGAAAAAGGAAAAAATATGTCCTCACCAGTGGCTCCCGAAGCTCCGGCTTCTGATCGATTTTTTCGAGCAGTTTTTTATGGGGCACGAAAAAGGGGATCTCATCTCTGCCCCTGGGGTTCAACGATGATTCGATGGAACAGAGATACGTTTCAAGATTAGATCGTAGTCGCAGCGGAAGAGAATCTTCTTATTTGCGAATTGAATTAGAATGAGAGATATCGTCGATAGAATAATTACTTTTTATATGTTCGAGGTGGTTTCCGGCACAATCTGGACGCGAAATCATCAGGAACTTTACCCGAAAGGCTAAACGATTCGGAATCTTGTTCCGTGAACGAGCAACCGTACGTCGATTTGATGCTTCCTTTTCGCTCTTTGTCTTCGCTGATATCCATTTGATCATTTACGAGAAACCACAGATTCACGATAAGTGTATCGTCCGATTACTCGTTGAATACTGCTCTCGTATCGATTAAACAAACGAAACGTTGTTCCTACTCGCGAAGGACTTTTACGGAGTTCCATGGGGATATTATGCAAGTAAAACGGCTGCAAAATGAAATAATTTCAAATTGTGTTTTTCCGAAGAGCGAACAGTTTTTTTTATCAAATTCCTGTTCGAACCGACCTTAGATACGATGCTTCGTATCCGTGAAAGAAATAAATCAACGTTATCTGTACGCCCCTTTAACGAAACGAATTTCTGAAAATACTTTCGCTGCATTTGTTAACTGTAAACTGTGCAGAATACTGATACATATTATTTGAAGCATTCAAATATGGATAATGATGCGCACGGTGGCTCGTTTACATCATATTTCTATTCCCTGTTATCGGGAACGCGATCGTATCTCCTCTGACTTATTGCTTTCTGCAAAATTACTCCGATTGTAGTATCTACCTCTTTCAGATAAACGTATGATGCAATTCCGAGGTACTCTTATCGTTCATACTTCGTTTTAGGTGAAGGTTTTACCTGTTGCATTATCATTATTCATGGCAACCACTGTTTGCATAGCTTTTAATAATATAACGATTGAAAAGGTGATCCATTTTATTATCGATATATCCGTGCGATATAAATTCGCACGGTGAACGTGAAACTCATTAATATGTCAGTGGCGTAACGAATAAATTGGGATCCAGTGAAAAGGAATTAGCGTTTGGTGCTTAAATATCGTATTCATTTTAATACTTTAATGTTACCTTAATATTCGAGATGTAATTAATAACAAAAACCGACTGTATTCGTTTTAAATCAATTCGGAATTTTGTAAAAGAAACATATAATTACCACAGCGACTATTCAGCTTAGGATTAAAGCGAAACACAATAACAATGGCGGTACATTCGGTCACGTGACGCACCAATACTTATTATCAACTCTTCCGTTGTTGTAAATGAACTAACAAGATTCAATACAAATATATTTCACTCTATACGCGATAAATAACTGATTATCTAAACAACCTACAAACTAAAACAATCAAAATCAGAAACATTAAAGGTTCGTTCCAATTAGCACCGTAGTACTACGTTACTGAAGTCACGTGGTTTTGTTATGTTTTGCTCTCGTCTTAAGTTGAACGACCATACACAAAAGTGCAATCACGACATTCCTGAAAGAAAGCATTTAATCGAAATGATAATAAGAGTTATCAACAGGTTTCATTAACCCTTCAGAGCGCGTAAATACTTTCTGAAAAATCACGCCTCTCATTCTGTATCTTGCACACAATAATGACACGCACGTTCCTTTATAAAAGATTCGCTTGAATAACTATTATTTTATTATCGCACAGTACACGAACGACGTTTACAAAAGTCAATTTCTATCTTCGATCGAACGCGTTCCGTAAAAAGCAACAAAATGTCTGCACCTTATTACCGCACTGGCGAACCGTCTGATTGGTAAATACGCCCATCTACACTCTGCATAGTTACAGGTTATCAGGGTGAACACCTTCAGTCGAATCTCGGATGCGTAAAGAGTTGTTCTCGCGTCTGCTGTGCTGTCGTCGTTGTAATATGTTGCGGGTGATCGGTAATACGGTGGTTCACACGTAAATTTTCATTCGACTATCGTCAGAGTGTGAACACCTAGGCGAAAGTGACGTTCCCGTCGCCACGTAACCTGGATTCGAATACAGGCAAACGGGGGAATTATTTAGTACGCTCCTACCAGCGAGCGTGTTGCACGACCACGCTAGCATCCGTAAGTGTATCGCTATTGAATTCTATTCAGTCACATGAATGAGTGCTCGGTGATTGCCGATTTACTTATCAGAGTTCCTTGTTAATTGCGACTCCGCAGCAGCCTTTATTCTCCCGACATTTTTACTCGGAGTATCATTGAAGGAAATTCCTTTGCATATCACGAGCAGAATATTTTCACGAATTACTTTGAACCTGTCCGACGTTAAGTTGAGTTTCTTCGTTACCCTTTCTTCCTCTCGAGTTACACCTGCTAGAACGCGTATGATCGCATCGTTCAGACAATAGATTAATTTGTGTCTCATATTTGAATTTTTCTTAGAGATCCTTGTAAATAGTGATAAAAAATTCATGAAGCATCTCGAATATGAGACATTCATTGCCGGGTTAAAGTCCCAAAGTGAGTAGCCCGTTGGTAAGAATTATTTACAGATTTTTCAAAGTCAGATATCAGTACCAATTTCATCGATTTATCGATAAAGAAACTTGAAGTCGATTTAAAGATATTCCTCCCGCTGTTCACGGCTACATTCTCAAATCGAATATCTCGACCCTGTTAAGATGCATCGTGCAACGTTTCCAATTAATTTTTATCGCGTATCCAATGTATTCGGTTTAACTCGTCTTATTGACTTCGTTCTGGATAACTTCGTTGAATGGAAAACACCGAGAGCAGGAGTACACGTACACCACGAACACTAATTGAAAAATAATTGCCGGTTGCGGGTCAAGAATCATTAATGAAGATGATGGCCGTTTCGTTCGCCGAGTATCGTGTAAATTGCAAACGACGATTCAGTGCGACGCGCGTTAAATAAAACGCGGAACGCTGGTGTTTCGAGTTTTCAAGCGGAACCTGCTCGTACGATTTAAATACGTAACATATCAATCAGAATGTAATTACACTAACTGCTACCAACGGTCAGTTTGTTCGCCACTTTTTCATCTGGAATATTCCACCGTCTAAGAAACAAACCTCTCGATTATTTCATTGTTTTCCAGTGGTATTTATAGGTCGCGTTTGAATTTCTTCGAACGGTCTCTTGTTCGAGCTTTCTTATAAATTCACCGCGAAATCGGATCCAAATATAGATTCCTATGAATCAATTTGTAGAAAGCGGGAGTAATTGATTATTTGTTTAGCTAAAGACTTATCGCGTTGTTGATGTTGTTCTTCCTTTTTTACTCCGTAGCGTGTAATGCGCGTGATAATATTATTACCACGAACGATAAGATTTTTCTCTTTGCCGGAGTAAAGAACGACCGTTTCTTATTCCTGTAGAAAAGCATTGCGCACCTCGTTACGGGTTAATTATTAAATTCGCGGCTCGAGTCGCCATTAAGTGAAATTAAGGCCTCGTTTGTATGAGTAGAAGCGGACGCCTGTACCAGGAATTAAAGGCTTGCCTTCGAAATGATGCGTAATCTTTATTCACGATTGCATAAGAGCACATTTGTGGAATAGTCCTTGGCAAAAACTTTTACACGCGGCGCGGAAGATTTTTGCGTCAATTTTCTACTTGAAATGTTGTTAGAGAACACTCGCCTGCGGGTTCGTTGTAGACGTTCTGCAATGGTATTCGCTTCTTTTGCTATAAATAATCAAGAATGATATATATATCATTCTTGATTATTATATATATATATATGCAGTTTTTACAATTGCAGGTTTTCCGTAATTGTGTATAATTAAGTACTTTCGTTGTATATAATGCGACTGCGTTTGTTGCTGATCTGCATGGTAATTTATGTGTTTTTACGTGGATAAAATTAATTAGTTCGTCGTATGAAAAAAGTGTATCTACTTAACCCGCCAGATAGATGATCTCTATCGCGCAGTTGCTTACGCATATATAATTAAATTGATATTACAGTGTTACAAACATCTCTCGATTAAAATTCAAGCATTACTAATGTGCTCCGTGCATTCGTTTTTAAATATGTTCACATGATCGTTCAGTGACGACTAAGAGAAAAAAAAAGATATTGTGATTGCAATACCGTGATTATAAGCGCACACGGTAGTCAGTAGCTTGATGATTAACGAGAACATACGAAATTTTACGTCCAGTGGTATGTGACGTATTATCACTTTTAACCTTTATTGGATCGAGATAATTTGTATGCGGTATTTTTTCGCATTACTTTATTATGCGCAGGAAACAAAGACCACGAATGCAGTAATTGCCTTCATTTCGCTGACTGAAAATTTTCATCGATCGCATGTCGCCGCTTCCGAACGCGTAGGTCATTCTTGATATCCTTAATCTGTCGATACTGATAATTCATTAGATAATTCATTTGTTTCCCTCAAATGACGATACGTGTAACATTATTATCTGATACGGCGAGCAATCAGATCACTGATGCAATCATTACAAGCTATCACCTCGGAGAGTAATTTATTTCAACAAATAGTTTATAGTGATTGTCAACTTAAAGCAATTCTGTACCATTTCTATTTACGGCTGATTTTAAAAATGAAAATTTCAATGATACAGTACTCCATGCCTACTTTTCACATTTTAACTTTCTATATATTTGATGCGTATAGTACTTCTACTTCCTGCCGGCCATGCGCGAATTTTTTCCACTTTCACATTCGCTTTTTCCGTTCATCGGTCGTTCCATAAAACATTAATAAAGACGAGATTTGCATGTTGGATGATGAAGAATGGAAATTAATTAGAACGATCTACACACGTGGCGTTAATTGATACATGTAATGCTATGACCAGGGGCTTGTGGTTACAGAATATGCTATCCAGAAAAATGTTTATACCGTGCTGCCTAATCATTAGAATAAAAACCACACTGAGCGCGGTATCCGGGAAGTGACCCCTGGGATCCCTCTACCTACGCTCGAATTCATTAAACTTTATTTTTCTTTGTTGAACACGCGACTACCACGACTAAGAACAATGCTGCATAAAATACTGTGTCGAATAGTTAGTGGCAAATGGTCTTGTTCGACTTCAAATAGTGCGTGGAAATTTCAAAACAACATACTTTATATATAAGATATCTTCCTAGACTAATATTTTGTTCCAAGAGCACGAAAAATATTTGAACTTCAACTTTAAAATATCTATTCTACGCTTACGTGCGCACACGTGCGCACGTGCACTCATATATCCTTAGCAAATATTTTGAATAGTATTGAAATATCTTTTTTCAAAGTTTTACCCAGCACTGCGGTGCAACGAGCACCAAAGGGTAGAAGTGAAACGCATCGAATATGTATGAATATGTAAATACGATTTCCGCAGGAAAATGGATCGGATTTACGTCGACGAGGAAACCGGGGAGAGCATAAGCGTGCCAGTGTCGGAATACGAGATCCTACGTCACAACGTGGTTGCGGTTAACAATGCTGAAACGGGAGAGCCAGAAATTAACATGGTGGGAACACAAACAACCAAATGTCGGAGGATACGTTTCCAGGTAATACGTGTTTCGTTTTTAGAAATCTAAATCTAAATAATAATTGATTGTTTTAACACCTTGCGTCCTTAGGGTACAATGTTACCTTAATCAATTCTGAGTTGCGATGAAAAAGATTTAAGATCTACAGACCGAACAAGATGTTAAAATGAAAGTTTCATCGGATGGTTCATTGTTGATAATACCGTAGTGTCTACCTAAAAAGGCATAGTAGTAATATTAATAAGTAGCAATTGTTTAGATTCCGAAAGAGGTGAAGGAAACGTTGTCAGTAAAGGATGGCTCTATAAGGAAAAAGGAAAACCTGATCAACTTTGAACCTGTTCCCGTTGGAACGTGCTTCGGCCAGATACACCCAATCTGCCTGTTCTTGCTGGCAGCCGTGTCCTTCCGTTGGTTCTTGCCGGTGTTAGCGCTCCTCGAAGTGGCGTTGCACGTCTGGGCCCATCACAAGAATAAGGCATTGAAGAACGCCAGCGTTTACTTCCGTTCTCCGTTCCATGCGATCTCGTCTGAATTCTGCGGGATCTGTCAGAACGAGACGTGCATGGATCGCGTTGGGAAAATGCAGCAGGCGCGGCTGCATAAGTTTCTACAACAGTGTAACTACATGAAACGCATTGTCACGTGAGAAATGTTGCCGTTGTCATCGAAGTACTGTGAAACGTTGGTCACAATCGTTTCTTCCTCCACGAGATACCAAGGACTGTAATTAACAATGTTACTCGGCATTTTTATCGTTGTAAATCGTATGAAGCTACTAACGCGGATGAAAGGCGTAGAAGATAGAAATCGGTGCGGGAGAAGGATTTTATATTTGGGATTTGTTTCTTAACTAACAGTAAGTACAGTGCGGCTATCGCGTTTGCATCAGCGACCATACGTTCAAAAGTGCACAGAGGCAAGGAGAGACATGCACTTGGGGCACGGTTTCGACGCGTTCTTGTTATTGGCTGAGCCGAGGTGGAACGTGTAGCCGATTCTCCTTGCCTCTGTGCACTTTTAAACCTGTAGTCGCCGATGCAAACGTGGGAACTGCATTATACGTAGAAACATAAGATTGCTCTGAGTACCCAATTAAAAAATGTCAAAAGTTTTTATTGTATGCTAGAACTACAACCAATCATGGAGAGATAGAGTTATCGTTTATTTAAAAAATATAGAACTGTTTTATATTAAAGTTTATCCTATAAATGTAAAAAATAAGTTAATCTACTAAGGCACGTGTATGTAAGGAATTATTTTGCATATCACAACTTATACCAACTTTGTCACTCGTTATTGAAGCAATAAAGCAGTATACAATCTTTAATATCCAATTCTTGTCGACCTTTCGTTTAAATAAAACGGCTCAATCCAACACCTGTTGCAATCAATTACATAATACTAGTATCTATAATACAATTAAATTCGTTGAACAATAGGTATTTTAAACGTCACCTACGTTAAAAGTTATTTTGTACAATTTAATTAGCAGATAACAACAACAAAAATATAAAAATAAATTATACCATGGTGTCCGTCCAAGAAATATTATTGTACCATGTTATAATACTCACAAAAGATCGATCGTTGTCCTAGCGCATCGCCAGAATTTCCCTCGTCGCTATTTGACACAAAACATTAAAATCGCACGACAGATGTGCCCTCCAAAAGCGACACTTGTTCCAAACAAACGCGGGATAATTCGGGCTCTGTATACCATGAAAGATCCTAGCGATTGCGCGACCATTAAAGTTGTTGTCTCGATAACTAACGATTATGCTTCGAACGTCGCCGACTATTTCCGCCTCATTTTTTACTTTCATCTGAAACAGGAACGCAAAGAACACATTTAGCTACGCGAGATAATGAATTCCTTTATATAAGGTCACACGAAATGTCTCACTTGTTGCTTCCAATCTTTGTCTATGATTGCTTCTCCGTCAAAGTACTTCCGAATAACGTTCTTCAATTCGTCGGATTTGTTAGTCATCTCTTCGTTCGTGACCAAGCAATGATTCACCGATGGCATGCTAAACTTATGAAGTGTCGCGTTAATCGTCTCGAGCTGCTGTATAGCTGAGGTTTCCTGAGACTGTGCGCGACCATACAACGCGTCCAGTGCCTCGTCTAACTCTTCTTCCGTGAGATCACCGGGAGCCTTCACTCTCAATCCGAGTCTGTCGTACCTTACCGAGATGCTCGAACGCTTTGGCATTCCATTTACTGAAAGTACAGTGAAAATTTCACACATAAGTACTAATCATTTGTAAAAGTGGGCTGTCTAGTTATTTATTAATACGCACCTGTTTTCCACTCCAAATTTTTTAGATGACTCTTTACCACTCCGCTGTCCCAGCCAATAGCAGATGCCACGTCTACGACTGGAAACTCAATAACGTTACTGTCTTCATGAGATATGCCCTTTTGTAAGTCCAGCGCTATCGCCATCGCGAGTGGCGGTGACTAAAATATTGTACAATAAGTTTCATGTTTTATTAAGGTCCACTTGAAAACAAGTACCGCATTCACTCACTGATTGTGCCGCCTGTTTCAGGGCTTGAGGTCCGGCGTAGCTTGAAACCGTTGCTCTAACATACACAGACGAGAGGACGGTGATAAATCTTTTGGGGTGCAACTCGAGATAGCATAAAAGCGTTGCGATCGACTCTTCCGTAATATCTAACGCTGCGACGGTTTCGTCGACCGGAATGGCAACCTCGTGCCCCGGACATCTACGGTCGCCATTTTTCTCGCGCAGCAACGCACACGAACACGAGACGAGCACTTTTTGGAGTAACCGTCTGATCGTGTGTCTGTCTACCCCATTTGCGTAAATGTGTCGACGTAATTCCCACTTGTCATTGTCCTCCTGAAACGAAGGGAATATTTTCAAATTTAACACGCTTGGCCGACAGTCGTATCTCGAGGGAACGATCTTATAGCACCTGAGGGTTCAAAAACAGGTGACAGTGGGCTAGGAGTCCATCTCGACCAGCTCTTCCAACTTCTTGAACATAGCCCTCGAACGTCCCAGGCATATTGTAATGGATGACGGCGCGGATATCTGGCTTATTAAGGCCCATACCGAAAGCAACGGTGGCTACAATGATTCTAGTCGAACCGGTCATGAATGCTTTCTGCACAGTCTTTCGACGGTAGGCTGATAAACCGGCGTGATACGGTTCCGCGATGGAAGATATTCTGCTGTTGGTTTTATCAGGGTTACGTGGATCCTGTTGACGGACAAAGAAGTACATGCAGTACTAGTGTTTATTTAATTAACCAAGTTATCACGGGAAAGACTATACCTGCAAGGAAACTCTTAAGAGGCCAGCAATTCGTCCACACTCTTCCCTACGAGTACAGTAAACTATAACTGAATCACACTTCTCGAATCTCTCGCTTAACAGCAGTTTGACCAAAGCCTGGTCTCTAAATTCGTCCCTAGAGACTGTTAGCAACAGGTTCCTCGGCATTGGAATATCGGAGATGACACCAGCCATTCCATCGTGCACGCCGAGGTGACTCACTATACTTTCAGCGGTAGCCTTCGTTGCGGTAGCAGTGAGAGCTAACACCGTTTTGACACCTAACTTCTCTTTGAGCACTCGACAAACCATCAGGTAAGATGGCCGGAAATTGTGCGACCATTGTGAGATGCAGTGGGCTTCATCTATACACGCGAAAGCAATCGGTGGAAGCTGCCTCAGCAAGGCTCCGAATCCTGTGGACTTCTCACCGGCGACTACAGCTTCCGGAGAAATTAGCAGGATGTCCATTTTACCTTGCTTTACCAATTGCATGACATTGTCCCGTACCTTTTGCGTTTGGCCCGTGTGCAAACACGCGGCGTTCAGAAATTCCGGGACGCCTGTCACTTGGTCGTCCATTAAGGAAACCAATGGCGATATCACCAGAGTGATGCAATTAGAATGTTTGGAATAAAGATACGCTGGCAATTGGTAACACAGAGATTTTCCGGAACCAGTGGACAATGTGACCAACGTCGATTGACCAGAAAGTATCCTCATCACAGCTTTCTCTTGTCCGGGTCTGAACGTCTCGTGACCGAACTTCCGTAGCGTTTCAAAAACTTCCGACGGTGTTTCTATAATTGTAATACGTGGTTAATGACGAATTAACGCGTGATTTCGTTTGCGTTGCATTTAATTAATACCTATGCAGGACTGATCCTCCTTAGTGGCATAGACGGGACCTACAGTATCAATTTGTGGTGGTAGCAATTTGGATATCAAGTCCTCAGGAATCTTGTGTCCGCTCAAAAGTACCTGAAAATGTTATGAAGTAAAGAGCTGTTGCTGATTAAATACAACGAAAGAAATATTCGCAAGTGTAGCCGTACTTCGTCCTCGATGGGTTCCCATAAATCTTCGTAGTCATTCGTGTTCTCCGTTTCGTCTTCCGGCGACGCAGAGTCCGCGTTAGGATTCAGTGATGGTTTTTGTGGCAAACGGTCGATTCTGTTAGCGTGTGCCACGACTGCATTCTGACTAGCCATTTGTTGAGCCTCTTCCAATGTTGGGAATTGCGAGCTTTCGTCTATCTCATCCAAAGGTATCAGCTCGTCTCCTTTCTTCTTCGGGCATGCTCTTGAAAAGTGACCAACATCACCGCATATGAAGCAAGTCATGACGCGATGCTTCTCGACGAAGTCAGCCACTTCTAAACTACCTTCGCTGGACCCTAACTCCTTTTTCCTTTGTTTCCACTGATTCTTCTTGTACTTGGAGAAATTGAAGTGTTTCTTACCACGCACGAATACTTTCTTTTTCAAATTAATCCTGACAAAGTTTTCGTTCACTTTCCCATCGGCCATCTTTTTCTCTAATTTCTCTTTGTCCGTTAATTGTCCTTTTGGTTTGATGGGTACAGCAGGATCGACAGCTGAATCAACAGTTTTAGAAGAAACGGATTTAGCGCACTGTTCGATAAGACCCCCTTGGCTATTTTTGTTAATGACAAAACGTGGAACAGCCTGTAATGTTTCTATCGCATATATTGTAGGCTGTTTGTCTTCCGGCTTTTCTTCATCTGCAGCTTCGATTTCTTCAAGTTCTTCTGTATCCTTCTTTTTCCTTCTAGAAGACCTCTTTGTTGCTGATGCAGGTTTTTTCTCTTTATTCAAATTTGTTCCCTTTGCAGTGCTCCTCTTTCTGGAGGTACTTGCTGGTGTCTTCGTCGATGCTTTCTTCTTTGTACTTTTCTCAGTCTTTTCATTAAAATCTGGATCGTCGTAATCTTCATCGTCGGAGGATGATTTAATCTTCTTACGAATAACACGGCGACGCGGTGGTTTCTTAATAGGCATATTGTCTTCAATTTCCTCGTTATCTATCTGTGTATTTACGGTATGTGTGGTATCATTTACTTTGCTTTTGTGTTTATTGTCGCCGGTAGTCATAGTCGTCGGTTTATTTATATCTTTATCACTTGTACTATTATTCTTAATTTCAGGAATATTAGGAGCATTAGAATTAGTGCGTACTTCTTGTTCATCTAAGGGAGTAGCAATACTATCACTGCAATGTCTTTTAGTAGCATAATTATCTGGATCACTGTATCTCTTTTTGAAGTTTCTGATACGCTTATTTTTATGTTCCTCTTCTGCATCACTATTACAAACATAATCTTCTTCATCTGATATTTGTATTGATCCAGGTGGTATGGATGCTGGCATATTATCTTTGGGTGACTGAAGACTGGATTCCATTGACTCAATCCCAGAATCACTTGTTGCAGAAAGTCTCTGAGAATCAAATGCAGGGTACTCCAAATTACTCTGTTTGGAACACCTATCTAACCAGCCTGAATTCAAATTTCTATTGATTTTGTGACCTTCCATTAATTGTTGCACTGTGCTAATATTATTGGTATTAGGCTTTTGTTCAGCAAGTGTAACCTTCACTGGTTCTCCAAACATAGCTTTTGTCTCCTCAGGAATGTCAAATCCATCATTAACATTTGCATCTCCATTTGAATTTTGTTCTTTGTTACTGTTTGTGCCAATGTCAATACTTTTTCCAGATCTAGCTTTCAATTTTGATGTAGACAATGATTTCCTAGGATTTCTTTTCGTCAAGTTTGAACCCTGAAACTTGTTTTGTGATAGTTGGAAAGAAGATGACTTACTAAAAGTTAGCGATTGTTTCTTTTTAGACATTTCTTCATTGCTCTTAAGTGTATTGTTATCCCATGCACCTTCTACATTTTTAAGTTCAGGTTCATCTTTTACTGAATCACAACTAGTAGGCTGAGGTTCATTACAGTGTGGATCTATGTTCTCTGTATCTTTTGTGCCTGTGTCTTCAACGGT